ATTCTGTTCCATTGATCTATGTGTCTGTTTTTGTGCCAGTACCATACTGTCTTGATGATGACAGCTTTGTCATAGAGCTGGAAGTCCGGAATTGTGATGCCACCAGCTTTGCTTTGCTTTTCTTTTTCAACATTCCTCTGGCTATTCGGGGTCTTTTCTGGTTCCATACAAATTTTAGGATTATTTGTTCCATTTCTTTGAAAAAAGTGGATGGTATTTTGATGGGGATTGCATTGAATGTGTAGATTGCTCTAGGTAGTATTGACATCTTCACAATGTTTGTTCTTCCAATCCCAGAGCATGGAACGTTTTTCCATTTCTTTGTGTCTTCCTGAATTTCTTTCATGAGTATTTTATAGTTTTCTGAGTACAGATCCTTTGCCTCTTTGGTTAGATTTATTCCTAGGTATCTTATGGTTTTGGGTGTAATTGTAAATGGGATAGGCTCCTTAATTTCTCTCTCTTCTGTCTTGTTGGTGTATAGGAATGGCACTGATTTCTGTTTTACCTAACTTTTTTACTCAACATTTCTCTAACTGTGGAATGATTTTGTTCTTTAGAAAAAATGCCCTCTACACTCTTTCCCCAACAGCACCTGGTAAATACTAATTAAATACGCTAGGGCATTGTGACCAAGGGTCCTCGGTGCCTCAACATGGTTGCAGGTATTGAGACAAAAAGTAGATAGACCCATTTCTAGAGTTGAGAAACTTCCTTGTAACTAGTAATAGAGCTAGAACTAAAACCAGGGTCTCCTGACTATATAACAGTTCTCTGAGGCCATGGTCAAGTGACCATAGCAGGGCAACGTCATGAAACACATCAGGGTTCTGAAAGAAATTTTTGTACCAAGAGCTAATTAGAAGGGCTTAGAGTGGAATGCTGAAATTCCCTAAGATAGATACAATGGTTAGAGCTAAAGCCAATAAACTTATGAATGTATTCATGAAGAAGTAGCAAACATGGTACTCTACCATCATGGCAATCTAATATGGGGTGGTAGTTTGGGGATGAGAGAAGCACATTGTACATGCCAATTAGAAAAGCCTCTGAGTAATGAAACGGGCCTTGTCATTCATCTGTCTGCTTCACAATTCCATTTAATTGAATAGTTATACCATAAACCTTTAAATATCCAAATATAGTAGAAGGTATATATATTGAATATGAGCACATAGATGATGGTCAGCACATACAATAGGAAATGCATACAATTAAATAGGATACCCTTAATTACTTCATGATACCATTTTAGTATAAAAGCAAAATATCAATCTGAGTTTTGTGGGGAGAGGTATGTGTGAAGAATTAAGCTGAGCCCTCTGTTTTTGTATTTTTTACCTCTAAAAGAATAAGGTTTTATTATTTTTAAGTTTTCATTTAAATTCCAGTTAACATACAGTGTAATATTAGTTTCAGGTGTACAGTAGAGTGATCCAACACTTCCATACAACACCCGGTGCTCATTATAGCAAGAGTGCTCGTTAATCCCCCCACTCACCTCCCCTCTGGTAACCATCAGTTTATTCTCTGTAGTTAAGAGTTTGTTTCTTGGTTTGCCTCGTCCTACCCCCCCCCACTTTGTTTCTTAAATTTCACATTTGAGTGAAATCATACGGTATTTGTATCTGATTGATTTATTTCACTTAGCATAATACTCTGTAGCTCCATCCATGTCATTGTAAATGGCAAGATTTCATTCTTTTGTATGGCTGAGTTATATTCCGTTGTAGATATATATGCCACATCTTATAGAGCTGTTACAGGTGCAGTATCTGGTTCCTTCTGAAACTCAGTATTTTTAAGACTATATATTTTGTAGCTGATACTAAAATATCCGATTGTCATTGTTAGTCAACATCTTTAGGGCAATGAGTAGAGAAATTAGCTATGTAGATACTTCATAGTACTTAAGCTTTTTTCTCTGTGGCATAACTGGGAATGCATGGTTTCCTGTGACATAGAAGTCTTCACAACTGTTCATTTTTAAGGGCGGGAGAAAGAGCCTCTGTGCATACCTTTGAGGTGTATTATTTACTTTGTAATTTGACTTAGAAAAACATCCACTTTTAAACTCACTGGATCAGAGGATAACTCTGTAGTTACAAGTATGGGTATACTTTATTTTCCCTGGGAGATAAGTATTTTTTTTAAGTTACATGGAAAATATCAGTTCAGCTACCCACAGCTCCCATTTTCAAGTTTGCAATACTGCAGTGTTAACAGACCTGCTTGAAATTGCCAACCATTTGATTGTCCCTGTTTTAATGTACTCTCAACCCCACAAGACGCCCACTTTTGCCAAAAAGTGCTACTGCCAGAGCTGAAGGCACCATCGTCGGTAGACCATTGTAAATATTTGTGGCCGTGCAGCTAAAACAACAGAAAAGGTGCTGGAATGTGTATTGAAGTTCATGCTGACCCGAGATACTTTGGGTTCTGGTTGTGGTTGTACTCCATGTAGCAAAACAGCAGCAACCATGTATATTATTCAGTTATATTGAAACCGCCTTGGCTGATGGAATTGAGGGCTTCACTGCTAGTACTTCCAGCAAATTTTAAGCTTCAGAAGGTCAGGGTCCGTGTCTTCCTTCGCTCTCTGGGTTGCTAGCCAACAAAGCAGGGTGTAGATGCTGAACATTTATAAAAAGATGAGACAAGTAGTACCTCCTCAAGCAATTGCTTCTTGGTTTGGGTAGTGGTCCAGGAGATGGTGATTCAGGTTTCAGAAACTTTAAGCTGAGGTATAGTTCACAAAGTGTACCACAGTGATTCGAGTGATTCGACAACTCTACATTTTATGCTATGCTCACTACAAGCTTAGCTACCATTTGTCACCATGCAATGCTCTTACAACACTGTTGACTGTATTCCCTATGCAGTACCCTTCATCCCCATGACTCATTCCATAACTGGGAACTTGTATCTCCCACACTCTTTCACCCATTTTGGCCATCCCCCACCCCCTCCCCTCTGGCAACCACCAGTTTGTCCTCTGTATTTACGAGTCTATTAATGCTTTGTTTTGCCTTTTAGATTCCATGTATAAGTGAAGTCATATGGTATTTGTCTTTTTTGGTCTGACTTATTTCACTTAGCATTATACTCTAGGTTCCTCCATGTTGCCACAAATGGCAAGATATCGTTCTTATGGCTGAGCAATATTCTGTTACGTATATACCATGTCTTAACCATTCATCTATCAGTGGACACTTAGATTACTTCCATATCTTGGCTAGTGTAAATAATGCTGTTGTAATAAACATAAGAGTGCATATATCTTTTTGAATTAGGGTTTTCTTTGGGTAAATACCCAGTAGTGGAATTACTGGATCATATGGTATTCCTATTTTTATTGTTTGAGGAACCTTTATACTGTTTTCCACAGTGGTTGCAGTCACTTTACATTCCCATCCGTGGTGCACAGAGGTTCCTTTTTCTCCACATCCTCACCAACACTTATTTCTTGTGTTTTTGATACTAACCATTCCTGATAGGTGTAAAGTGTTATCTTGTGGTTTTGGTTTGCATTTCCCTGGTCAGTGATGTTGAGCAACTTTTCATGTGTCTGTTGGCAATGTGTATGTCATCTTTGGAAAGATGTCTATTCAGGTCCTCTGCCCTATTTTAATCAGATTGTTTTTAAGTTCTTTATATATTTTTGATACTAATCCCTATTGAATATATCATTTGCAAATGTCTTATTTAGTCGGTTGCCTTTAATTTTGATGATGGTATCCTTGGTTGTGCAAAAGCTTTTTATTTTGGTGTAGTCCTCGTAGTTTAGTTTTGCTTTTTTCCCCTTGCCTGAGGGAACCTATCAAGAAAGTTGTTACTAGGGTCATTGTCAAAGAGACTACTGCCTATCTTTGGAAAAAATTTTCATTGCACAGGTGGTCCAGGTCCTGAGGGGATTATGTCTCTGAAGGAGTGCAAGACCCTGAGGCATTGGATGTGGAAGAAACCACTACTGCAGAGGAACCTTTATGATGGCTACAAGTAGAGATGAATCTAGTGAATTAGCACCTTAACAAGGAATCACAAACTGAGCCCATGGAGAGGGCCTCATAGAATTGCTTTTTTCAGTCTTGGAGAATTAAAGACCAGGTTGTGAACTGTGACCTCTTCTAGGGTTCCTTATGTGGTTTTTGGATGAATCTGTTTCCATGGATTCCAGTAGCGCTAACCATGAAAAATTATAAGCATACTCAGAATTGGAAACATACAGCCATTGTGGAAAATATTAGGTAAAACTACCAGAAAAATAGGTAAAACTTATATATTTTTATGGAGAATAATGGTTGTGTAAATTATGGATTGTGACACAGAATGAAGTGAAATTCCTGCTGCATCATCTATTTTCCAAGCTCTCAGTGTTCAAGTTACTTGAGAACTTTGTTAAAATGCAGATTGATTCACTAGTCCAGGGTGGGGCCTGCAATTCTGTTTCTCATCAGCTCTAGGTATACTGCTGATCTCAGTAGTAGGTTTAAAGGTTTAAAGAATACTGGTTCTCAAACTCAGGTTCACGTTGGAATCATTAAAAAATACTGGGGAAATTTAAAAGATACTGATGCCTGCATCTCAACCCTAGAGATTCTGATTTAATTTGTAAGGGATGTGGCCTGGGTGTCTGGATTTGTGAAAGGGTCCATAGGAGATTTCAGCATGCAGCTGAATCAGAGAATTGATGTTCTAGGACTGGTTTCAATTTATGTTTGAGAAGAAATAACTCATTTAGGCATCTAATCCTACACTTTTTAAATAAAACACTTTCAATATAATTTTATTAGCAGTTATTATGTCAAAATTTACATTTACAACATCTAAAAGACTGCCTTAGAAGAGCATATGTAATAAGACTTTAAGAAGATAGAACATATTCTCATTATAGCACAGCACAATATTAATTAAGTGCAGTTCTATTAAGAACTAGAAGTAAACTCCGGTGCTGCTTAACATTCTACAATGCAGATAATCCTACATTTTTTTCTTTGCAGGTTGCAGCAATCTACAAGGACTCAAGTATTGGAAATCTTATCAACATAGTAATTGTAAAATTAGTTGTAATTCATAATGAACAGGTAAGAAACAGGGCTGAAGTTAGTAATCTTAATTGTAGTAGGCTCCTAGTAACAATATATATAGATCACAAAATTGTTATTGGAAATGAGGTATTTCTAAAATTTACATTTAAAAACTTGATTTGAAAAGGAGTGAGATTAACTTTATATTGTGACGGAAACAAGAAAGGAAGTAATAAAAACAACTTAAAAACTTAAGGCTTAAAAACAATGAGGTATTCCTTTTATAATCCTGTCATTGAAGGATTTAAAATACAGTTTTTTTAGAAGTTTTTTGATCCTCAGTATTGGATGGTTACATTGAAAAGTTCTCACTAGATCCCCTTTTGATCATGTCTTATGTATGGCTAAAATATTCCTGAATAAATGTGAGGGAGAAATGCCACCTCACTTGCCTCTGAAAATGCTATTTAATAAATTGCAAGGATGCTGACAAGCTTGGAGAGAAAAGGGGCTATGGATGTTTTAATGTAATATTGAATTGCTCATTTTTTTGTGTAGGAAGGACCAGTCATCAGTTACAATGCAGCTACCACATTGCGTAACTTCTGTTTATGGCAACAAACTCAGAATGTTCTTGATGATGCTCACCCTTCTCACCATGACACTGCTGTTCTTATCACTAGGTACAGTTTTAGAAATAACCCTTCCAACTGCAGTTGTTTACCCTTTCTGTCCTGCATGATCACTGATACTTCTTGTTACCTTAATTCTTTATTGATAATACACAGAAGTGTTCTTTGAGAACTTGTATTGCAAAAGATACTATTGTATGAAAACATTGTTCTTGCAGACCAGAATTGCTAGTTGATTCCTTAGGAAATTAGCAATGTTAGGTTGTTGAGTAATGAAATGGATTGACCAAAACAAAATAATTTCCTTATTTAGGGACAGAATTATGAAAAATAATTGCAAATAAACATAGTTGTGGAACTGAATATAGCTTATATTCATTCCCCACTTGATATTTCAATCGCTTGGAAAGAAGAGCTTTTGAATTTAATTGGTTGTCCACTTTTTGGACTTCTTGTACTTTAAAAAAAAAATCTGTGTTTTGATGTTCAATACATGTCTTAATTACTACACTGCATTTATGAGGGTCTTTCTCAACGTGCTTAAGGAAAACAACTTCTGCTATTATAAAATGATTGTCCATTTTACAAGCACCACTATATATTGTTAATTCATGCCTTTGCTTCAGCAACACTGATGGCTACCAGGATATTTAGATTTTAGGATTGGCTGGTTGACAAAAGGAAATAATTCTTCCACTTAAGGGTCAGACTCCGAAATCTCTGCTTTCTAGAACTCTGAAATGAAACACTTAGTCCATATGAAATAGTCCATATAAATAGAACTAAAGCAGAATTGATTTAATTTTATACACCATATTATATCATCAGTCCATGGTTCTTCCATGGATTGTAATTAGAGGCCAAGCAACAAAGATTGGAGATAATGAATTATAAAATGGGAGGTAGACAAAGGAGGCTAGAAGAGGGAGACCATAAGAAATGACAAGAGAACTGTCAAATTGAATGTGTACAGACTAAGTAATGCAGAACAAAAAAGTAAGCAATTTGGTAATATCTGAGAACGTTATCTGTGGTGTAGAATAATAGCTGAAGCTCATAATGATGGAACATCTAGAAAAGCATAAACTATATTACAATAGACCATAAATAAAGGCAGAAGTAAAAATACACTTAGAAAGTTTATCGTTGAACGTGGTTAAAGCTTCAGCTCTTTTCAGCAGTCACTTTTATATAGCATGCATTGCTTACTGGTATATACAAATGGTGTATTATCCTAGGTTCCAATTATTGAGAGCTTAATAAGATCTGGATTTGGAAGTGAGTTTGTGGTAATAGTCACCTCATAGTTCAAGCTTCTTTATCTTTGTTTTGACTTGTAAAAATATTTTCTGAAAATGCTTCAAACTTTTTTGTTTTAAGGGAAGACATTTGTGGAGCTAGAGAGAAATGTGACACATTGGGTAAGTTACTTTGCAAATTAAATATAACTTATAGAGATGCCTGGGTGGCACAAGTTGGTTAAGCATCTGACTCTTGGTTTCGGCTCAGCTCGTGATCTCAGGGTCGTGAGATAGAGCCTTGCAACCAGCTCTGCGGTCAGCATGGAGTCTGCTTAAAACTTTTTCTGCCCCTCCCCCCAGCTTGTGTGTTCTCTCTCTCTCAAATAAAAAAATCTTTAATAAATATATAATTTACTGAATTGTTTAAAATGTTTATTTTCCTTTTACATCGTAATCATTTTGATTGTCTTGATTAATGATTGTCATTAGCTTCTGCCTCAATACATTTTAAAGAATAAGAACTGATATTGTGCCACTTACTATATACACATAAAATATATGCAAATCTAAAGCAAAGTAATAAAAAAATAATAGAATGAATAGCCATAAATCCACCACCAGATTTAAGAGCCAAAATTTAATACACTCATATGGCCTTTGCTAAGTCCTTATTCTATCCCAAGAGGTAGCCAATACCATGAATTTTATATGTTCCAGTTCCTTTCATCCTACTACGATTGTAGTTGTAGTTCATGGATTTTCACTCCTGTATAATAATTCATCCTCAGTTTACATATTTACACACTATTAGTGGATATTTGGACCAATTCCAGGTTTTCATAATGAACTTCACTTTAAAATCTAGGGTATATTCCTACAATTGAAATTGTTATTAAATTTGCTGATGTTCAACTTTGGTATATCTTAAAGTGGTTGTACCAATTTACATCTTTATCAATAATTACAAACATTGTTTTTGATTATGTCTTTCTCAACACAATGTACCTTCAGATTTATCATTTTTGCCAATCTAAATGTAATATATTTCATTATAGTAGTAATTTTCAGTTCTATGATTATTGAGTTTGAACATCTTTTCATATCTATTGGCCATTTATATTTCCTTTACTCTGAGGAATGAAAGAAATATGACCTATTTTTCCACTGTGATGGTTGGCATTTTCTTACTGCCCTTTTTTTTTTTTTTTTGAATTAAAATTTTTTTCTAGGGGTGCCTGGGTGGCTCAGTCACCTGGGCGGCTCAGTCACCTGGGCATCTGTCTTTGGCTCAGGTCATGATCCCAGGGTCCTGGTATCGAGCCCTGCATCGGGCTCCCTGCTCGGTGGGAAGCCTGCTTCTCTCTCTCCCACTGCCCCTGCTTGTGTTCCCTCTCTCACTGTGTCTGTCTCTCTCAAATAAATAAATAAAATCTTTAAAAAAAATAAAGTAAATTCAGTTAGCCAACTTATAGTACATCATTAGTTTCAGATGTAGTGCTCAATAATTTATCACCTGCGTATACACATCCAGTGCTCATCACATCATGTGCCCTCTCCTTAATGCCCATCACCCAATTACCCCATTCCCCACCCAACTCCCCGCCAGTAACCCTTAGTTTGTTTCCTATACTTAAGAGTCTCTCATGGTTTTTCTCCCTCTCTGATGGCTTCCCATTAGTTAGGCTTTGTTTTAAAGTCTCATAAGTATTGCTACCGTAGCTTTTTTTTCCCCCACTTCCAATTGCATGGAATATGTTTTTGCATCTCTTCACTTTCAGTCTGTATGTGTCTTTAGGTCTGAAGTGTCTTTTGTAGGCAGCAAATAGATAGGTCTTATTTGTTATCCATTCAGTCACCTGATGTCTTTGGAGCACTTAATCTATTTACATTTAAGGTAATTATCGATAGGTATGTACTTATTGCCATTTTGTTAACTTTTTTTAGTTGTTTGGTAGTTCTCTGTTCCTTTCTTGCTCTCTTTACTTGTGATTTGATGACTTTCAGTGTTATGCTTGGATTCCTTTCTCTTTTTTGTATGTATATCCATTATAGGTTTTTGGTTTGTGGTTATTATGAGTTTGGTATATAACACCCTATGTATATAGCAGTATTTTAAGTTGGTTTCTTAAATTCAAGGACATTCTAAACTCACTACATTTTACTCCCATATACTCCATGTTTATGTATTTGATGTCATTTTTTTAATCTTTCATTTTGTGTATCCCTTAACTAAAGATAAAGTTGATTTTACTACTTTTGTCTTTTAATCCTCAGAGCAGCTTTATAAGTGATTGCTCTACTACTTTGTAAGGCCAGTTTAGTGGTGATGAACTTTTCTGTTCTGGGAAACTTTCTCCTTCAATTCTAAATGATAACCTTGTTTAGTATAGGGTATTCTTGGTTGTAGGTGTTTTTTTTTTTCCCCCTTTCAGCACTTTGACTATATCATGCTATTCCTTTCTGGACTACAAAGTTTTTGCTGAAAAGTCAGCTGTTAATTTAATGGATGTCCCCTTGTATGTTAAGTAGTTTTTCTTTTGCTGTTCTTAAGATTCTTTAACTTTACACATTTTAATTATTATGTGTTTGGGTGTAGACTTCTTTGGGTTCATCTTGTTTGAGGCTCTATGTTTCATGGACCTGGATGTGTTTCCTTCCTCAGGTTAGGGAAGTTTTCTGCTATTTCTTCAAATAAGTTTTCTGCCCTTTCTCTTTCTGGGACCCCAAAATGCATATGTTAGTACACTTGATGTTGTCTTAGAGGCCCCTTAACCTATCCTCAGTTTTTAAGTTCTGTTTTCTTTTGCTGTTCAGCTTGGATGATTTTCACTACTGTGTCTTCCAGATTGCTGATTCATTCTTCATCCTCTAATATGTTGATTCCCTTTACTGTATTATTCATTTCAGTTATTCTTCAGTTTTGACAGGTGCCTTTTTATATTTTTTATCTGTTGAAGTTCTGAGTTCATCTACTCTGAAGTCTGGTGACCATTACTTTGAACTCTTTATCTGGTAGGGTGCTTATCTCCATTTCATTTGGTTCTTTTTCTGAGGTTTTGTCTTGTTCTCTTGCTTAGAAAATATTTCTGTCTCTTCATTTTGTCTGACTTTCTGTGTTTGTGTATTAGGTAGGTCAGCTACATCTGCTGGTGTTAAAGGTACTGTCCTTTTGTAGAAGGCATCCTGTGCGTCCCAGAAGTATAGTCCGTCTGGTCGCTAGAACTAGGTGCTCTGGTGGTGTCCTTTGTGGGAAGTGCATGCACTCTACTGTTTAGTCTACAACTGTTGTGGGTGCACCAGTGGGTGAGGCTGGCCTGTAGCCTGATGGTTATAATGCCTGGCTCTCTGTGCCATGGGCACACTAGTGGGTGGGCTGGCCCCTGATATGGCTGACTGATAGGACTGGTTGCTGTTGTGTGCTAGTCAGTACGGTTAGAACTCAGTGTGGTTAGTTCTAACTGTTGTAGTTGTGCTGTTGGACAGGGCTAGCATCCTACACTAGGCCGAAGGACAGCTAGGAAATATTGCCCCCCAAAGCTTGTGTTCCTGGAGAAAGTTCCTACAGATTCCTGCCCCTTTGGCACATGCCCTAAAGTTAGTAAACAAAATCTCCTTCATGTATGGCCCAGGTGCTTTTCAAACTGCTGCCTCTGTGTTGGGTCTTAGAGTGAGTGAGATTGTGTGTGGGTCCTTCCAGAGCAGAGTCTCCATTTTCTATTACCCTCTAGCTCTCCTGGAGTCCTGCTGATTTTCAAAGCCAGACAAGGAGGCTCATCTTCCTGGTGCCTATCTTCCAGGTGGGAGGGAGTGCCTGATGTGGTGCTTGAAACCCTAACTCCTCCGGGAGGAACCCCGTACCTGTGATATTCCTCCTGCTTGTGGGTTGCCTTCCTAGGAATTTGGTTCCAGTAAGCCTGTTATCAGTGCCCCTTCTACTCTTCTCAATGTGGCTTTTTCTTAATATCTTTAGCTTTGGAATTGCTGTTCCAATAGTCTTCAGTTTGTTCTTAGGGAGTTCCTCTGTATGTAGCTGCAGCCTTGATATGTCTGTGGGAGGAAATGAGCTCAGGATCTTCCTACTCCTTCAGTTTGCCCTTGCCCAGGCATGTGCTTTCTTTTCTTAAATGGTTTTATTCTTGCAGACATTGATACGAGTATTTACTTAAAATAATATATTCCTTTTATAGATTTTCTAATGTTATACCAAACTTGATGAATTTGTTTTTTAACTGTTAGATTCCATTCCCTGGATGTATTTTCAGGAATGAAGTGACCTTTTATCATATTTGTCTAATTTTGATACCAGGTTTTATTCACCTTTTAGAACTGGTCAGAGTATACTATTTTTTTTATTCTCTGGAAGATTTTATAGAATATTTTAACGATCTATATCTTGAAAGCTTAGGTGATCCCACCTAGTGAACCATCTGTTTCATGGGGGTTTTGTTTTTGTTTTATGGGGTTTTTTGGGAAAAATTTTTAACTCTCTAATATCTCCAGTGGTAATCAGACTATATTTTTTATCTTCTTGAATCTATTTAAAAAGCACTACTTACTAGATATTTCACTGTTGTTAGTAAAATTTATCAGCTTAAATTTTCATAACATTTTTCCTTTATTTTTTACTGAAATATATCTGACAATGTTACAGTAGTTACAGGTGTATAACATACTGATTTGACAATTCTATACATTACTCAATGCTCATCACAGTAAGTGTAGTCACTGTCACCTTAAGATATTACTACAATATTATTGACTATATTCCCTATGCTGTGTACTTACCATCTCTGTGACTTATTTTATAACTAAGAGTTTGTCCCTCTTGATTCCCCCTTCATCTGTTTCACCCATCCCCTCATCTACCTCCCTTCTGGCAACTTCCAGTTCTCTGTACTGAAGTGTATTTTGTTTTTCAGATTCCACATATTAGTGAAATCATATTTCTCTTTCTCTGACTTATTTTACTTAGCATAATACATTCTAGGTTCATCCATATTGTGGCAAATGGCAAGATTTTATTTTTTATGGCCGAGTAATATTCTATTGTATATATACACCACAGCTTCTTTATCCATTCACCTTTCAACAGATATGAGTTGCTTCCATATCTTGGCTCTTTTGTAAATAATGCTGCAGTAAACATAAGGGTATGTACATCTTTTTGGATTAGTGTTTTTGTTTTCTTTGGGTAAATACCCAGAAATGGAAATCACTAGGTCATGCGGTATTTCTGTTAATTTTTGGAGCACCCTCCGTATTGTTTTACACAGTGATTGTACCAGTTTACCTTTCCACTAACAGTGCATGAGTGTTCCCTTTTCTTCATAGTCTTGCTAACTCCTATTATTTCTTGTATTTTTGATACCAGCCATTTTGACTGAGGTGTGAGGTGATACTTCATTATGGTTTTGATTTGCATTTCTCTGACGATTAGTGATGTTGAGCATATTTTCGTGTGTCTGTTGGCCATCTGTACGTTTTCTCTGGAAAAATGTCTATTCAGGTCCTCTGCCCATTTTTTAATTGGATTGTTTTTTGAGTTAAGTTCTTTATATATTTTTGATATTAATCCCTGTTGGATATATCATTTGCAAATACCTTATTCAGTAGGTTGCCTTTTCATTTTGCTAATGGAGTCCTTTGCTGTGCAAAAGTGTTTTATTTTGGTGTAATCCCAATAGTTACTTTTGCTTTTGTTTCCCTTGCCTCAGGAGACATGTCCATAAACACGTTGCTAAGGCTGATATCTAAGAGATTATTGCCTGTGTTTTCATTTAGGAGTTTTATGGTTTCAAATCTCACATTTAGGTCTTTAATCCATTTTGAATTTATTTTTGTGTATGATGTAAGGACGTGGTCAGTTTCATTCTTTTGCATGTAGCTTTCCAGTTTTTTTAAAAAAGATTTTATTTATTTATTCATGAGAGACAGAGAGAGACAGAGAGAGAGAGAAGCAGGCTCCCAAGGAGCAGGGAGCCCAGTGTGGGACTCGATCCCTGAGCTGAAGGCAGACCCATAACCATCTGAGCCACCCAGGCACCCTAGTTTTCCAGTTTTCTTAGCACCATTTACTGAAGAGACTATCTTTTCCCCATTTCATATTCTTGCCTCCTTATAGATTGCCCATAAGAGTGTGGGTTTATTTCTGGGCTCTGTCCTATTCTGTTGATCTATGTGTCTGTGTGCATGTGTGTGTGTGTGTGTGCGTGTGTGTGCGTGCGTGTGTGCACGCGCCAGTGCCATACTCTTTTGATTACTATAGATTTGTAACATAGCTTGAAATCTGGGATTATGAAACCTCCAGCTTTGTTCTTCCTTCCCTGAAAGCAGTTGTTTTAAGGGAGAGAGAGTGGGGGAGGGACAGAGGGAGAGAGAAAATCTTAGGCAGGCTCCATGCCCAGAGTGGAGCCCAATATGAGGCTTGATTTCACAACCCTGAGATCATGACCTGAGCCAAAATCAAAGTTGAGCTCTTAACCAACTGAGCCACCTAGATGCCCCATATCTCTGGTCTTTGATGACAGTTATTCTAACCAGTGTGGAGTGTGGTTTTGATTTGCATTTCCTTGATGGTTAGTGATATTGAGCATTTTTTCATATATTTGTTGACCATTTGTATGTCTTTTGAGATTTGATCCTTAATAATATTGACATGTCTGTTAATAATAAGCTTATGAATAATTTAACTTTTTGAAGTTGGACGCTTAACTGACTGAGGCACTCAGGCATCCCTGAAATCATTCATTAGGGTAATGATAATAATAGCTGACCTATCTGGAGTGCTTACTGTATGTCTTACACTATTGTAAAGTTTTATGTGATTTAACTCATTTAATCTTCACAGCAAACCTATGAAGTAAGAACAACTTTCAGTTTCATAGATAAGACTAAATAATTTGCCTAAGGCTGCACAACTCATATTAACACAAGTATTAGTATTTTATTTTCTCTTCTAAATAGGTGGAAAGATTACTAGGTATCTTGCTATATGTTATCTTCTGTAGATATCATTGTCCCAGTCTCTGAGCCCTTTTTGTGAAGTATGTTGAAAATGATTTTCATTCTTTAAAATGGCTAGATTGGGTGATTGTGCAGTTTCTTGAACTTCCAAACACAGGGAACCTGTATTAGATTTGGGCCCATCCTACTTTATTGTATCTCTGACTGACCACTTTTATAGAACCCAATATCAGCTTGAATGAATTTAGGCACAAACCATCGATTAGCTTCCTGGTGCCATGTTATATATTCACTTTGATTTGTTGTTGTTCTTGTCTGTTTATGGGCATATTTGAGTTGAGTCTTTAATCATATACAATACATACTTCCATGGATCTGTTATGTGATTAAAACATTTAGCTTGGAATATAGTCCCTTAAAGCATGAAACATAAAGTTGTTTGGGTGATAATGGAGTCAATAGTTTGTTTGAACTATCTACGTAGTCCTGAAAATGAATAGATGGAAATTGAGCCATTTTTAACAGATTGAAAATACTAAAGGGTAGCACGGGAATAGCAAGATATTCAATAAAAATGTGTTTAGTTTTAACTTCTAAAGGAGAAATATAAAACTGACTGAAATTGACTAAAGAGCACATACAAGTAGAAAGTCATACTTTAGGAAAACAATAATTCTTTCATTCTTGGGACAGCAGACTGTTAAATAATATTTTTTTCCTTGCTCATTTTTGGCCTTGATTCTAAGAAAATGCTTTTTGGGGGACCTTTGCCCAAGCCATCCCTTTGGCTGTGGGTTCAGAAAGAGAGCAAATACTTTCTGTTTTGTTTATTAAAATAAAAAAAGTATTGGTGATTGAACTTGTTAGTCTGAACTTTTCCAGCATTTTTAGATCCTCAAGTTCAAAGTTTTTTAAAGTACAACAAAAACATTCTCATTGTGAGGAAATTTACCTTAATGCTAGGAAAATGTCCATGCTTTTAAGTTTTATGAATCAAAGAATACAGAGGAGTATAGAGCTAAAGCACAATAGTTGATACACGTCTACTCTATATTGAGAAATTTCTAAATGCAAAAACTTTCCAGTAAGCAACCGGCTATATATGAAAAATTCTTTTTAACGAAAGGAATTGTCCTAGGAGAGCAGATAAGAAAATACTGAAGGATAATAGTAGCAGAAACTATGCTATTAAGGTAAATAAATGCCAACTGAGTTGATGGACTATGGATTGTTGTAAGGAACATTTATTTTCAATTTCTTATTCTAGATTATTTTAAAGACTCTACCAGCTGTAATTTTTGTCTTTGCTGTCCAGTCCTTTCCTACTGTATCTTTCAGCAGCACATTGGCATTGCATGATATTCTTTATATTAAAGAGTGAATAGATCTTAAGAGGATACATTTTCTAAAATATTTTCAAAATTATTGGATGCCTTTAATAAGTGAATCATTTTATTTAACATATATTAGATGCCAGGTGCTATTCTATGCACTTAACATATAATCACTAATTTAATTATAAGTACATAATTGTATACTGCCTCAAAACTTTAAATATTAAAGCAAATTCATTAATCTATAGTGTTCTGTGCTATTTTCTATATTCTGTTACCAATTTAAACATTCATTGCCTTTTCTAGTATCCACACTAATGTTGCCTAAAATTTCATCCTTCCTGTAACAAATACTTTTTTTCCTCTTCCTTTTTTTAAACAATTATTCACCCCATATTTTGGGTTATTTTCTCCAGTAAAAGAATCCAGGAATTGGTAAAAAGATTTCAACTGCAGATAAATCATTCTGTTCTTTTTTCCTTCACCTTATAAAATATTTGTGATCTTAACAGCCAACTCTGCAACCCTTTCTAAGTAGTAGTAATGGCAAGAGTAAATGCTTTAACATTTAGTTCTTTATAGATGTGGTACCTATATACAATGGAATATTACTCAGCCATCAGAAAGGATGAATGCCCACCATTTGCATTGACCTGGATGGAACTGGAGGGGATTATGCTAAGTGAAATAAGTCAAGCAGAGAAAGTCAATTATCATATGGTTTTACTCATATGGGGAACATAAAGAATAGCACAGAAGACCATAGGGAAAGAGAGGGAAAACTGAATGGGAAGAAATCAGAGAGGGAGACAAACCATGAGAGACTATGGGCTCCGGGAAACAAAAGGGGTTTCAGAAGGGAGGGGGTTGGGGGGAACGGGGTAGCCGGGTGATGGGTATTAAGGTGGGTAAGTGTTGTGATGAGCATTGGGTGTTATACGCAACTAATGAACTGTTGAACACTACATCAAAGCTAATGATGTACTATATGGTAGCTAACAAACGTAATAAAAAAATAATTAGTTCTTTATGATTTGATGTTTCCCATTTTGAAATACAAACATGAAATTTTTCAGGTTTAGCAGAATTAGGTACCCTGTGTGATCCTTTACGGAGCTGCTCTATTAGTGAAGAAAATGGACTCAGTGCTGCCTTTACCATAGCCCATGAGCTTGGGCATGTGTAAGTACCTTCTGCTAACTCAGTAATGTGCTTTCTATAATCATTGCACAGAATGCCTAAAATCCCATCTTCAATTGAGTAATTAGCAGCTTTATGTCTTTAAAAATATTGTTAGTGTAATTTTCATCCCTGAAATGCTAACTCTGGCTCTTTTGTGATCTATGTTAGGTCAGACAGGCTGCACAGATCAACAGACTAAGCAAAGAACTAGAACTTGGGAATTCTTTTATTTCATTTACTGTATTGGATTACATGACAAGCACTTCTGGCCTCTGTCCCTTGTTATCCCATACATGACCAGGTACTGTCCTCTTCCATCTTATGGGAGGGCCTGCAGGGGCTTCTGGTTCTGGGGAACTCCCGATAATATTTGTAATACCAACTCACTTGTTGCTCTTATAGCTCAGAGCCCCAGCAGAGAACGTGGCATGTGGGAATTTCTTAATCATTAAAAGATTTTTTAAAGTTATTTCTCCAGCTTCATAGTTGTTGTTGTTCTTTGGTTTTGTTTTTTTTTTTTTTTTGGTAAAAATGAGGGGTTCTATCTGTTCCTGCATTATTAAAAATTCTACTGGGGTTCTATGCTCTAAGAATGGAGGCCATGATTCCCTGTGATAGCCTCGGAGCTCCCATGGAAAGTCAGAAACCCCTACAAACTCATCCTCTGAAAGGGATTCCATATGCGTACCCCCAGCACTCCTGGGATTTCTTGTTTATATGCTAATAAGGAATTGAGGCTAGAGTTGCCTCTCTTAGTTTGACTACATTTTCTTTTCCTGGTCATGCCTTACATCATTAGAGTATTCAACAGGAATAATTTCAAGTGGAAATCATTTTTATTAAACTAGTGCGTCTTCAGTTCCCTTTTAGCATGATTATGTTTCATGGTTGTCAGCAGGGTGCACACTCAAATTGTTGAAGTGGGGATAGGCTCAGGAGCTTACCTGAGGGCTGTAGCTGCCTAGCAGCGACATCTGGAAAGCACTATTAGCTGGTTTCCAAGGCTACTAACTAATGGAAAACTGTTCTTGCAGAGACTACCATCTTAGCCATTTATTTTCTTCCTGAAAAACTCTTTAGGTGTCTTTAGAATATGGGTAAGTAGTTTAATTAAAGGACTGATTTTTAAGTACAAATCTCAGCAGGCAAAGAGCTGAGCTAGGTGGTTTCAGTGTTCCTTCTAAATGCAAGTTCATACTTAGGTCCTCAAAAGAATGCATAGGCTCTGTTGCTGGCCAGCTAATTATTTAATGTCCTTGCTCTTAGGAAGATTTGATTTAGGAACGTTTTTGTTATTCTAGTTCGATCAGTAATCACTTACTGAGTATAGACCAGAAACAGTACTGAGGCTGTTTCATATGAAACAGATGGATACTATAGAATGATAAGGAATTAGGGATTGAAGAAGTTTTCATACTGTAGTAATAGTCTGTGATCTACAAACTAGTGTGGTATCACTTTTATGTAATCTACCTACACACATCTCTTAGGATATGCATGCTGAAACCTGCAAGTATTTATGTGAATGCTATATCCATATCGTGATGAGGTGAGCCAGAGTCCACATATTTTGATTGTTTGGACTCACATACCAAGTCAGCAGACTGTGCTACCAATCGAAGTTATAATCTGCTGTTTCTCAGATCATGTGCTTCTAAACATGAAGATAACCTTGGTTTTATAATGCTTTATGGGAGAGATCAAGAGTATAAATTTTGATGTGATTGGATTTATCTGTATTTTACCTTATAAGGATAAGAGATCTGTTACTAATGTTGTATTCATATTTTCATATTCTCTTTTTTTAAGTGTTTGTTTTTCTTTTTAGATTTAATGTTCCACATGATGATAGTTTTAAATGTAAGGAAACTGGAATTAAACATCAATATCATGTAATGGCTCCAACTTTAAATTACCACACAAGTCCTTGGACCTGGTCAAAATGTAGTCAGAAATATATCACTGAATTCCTAGAGTAAGTCTGAAATTATATTACTGTATTTAAATAATGAAACATTTATTAGACTATAGAATTTGAAATTTCTTTGTTCTTTTAAAGTGGTTCAATTTCTGTTTAGTTTTTCTGTTTAAATTTAAGTGTACTTTGTACAAATGTGTTTTTAAAAAAAGAAAAGAGCTGTATATACATATTTCACTCCTAAAATACTTTAGGAGGGGGACAGGTCAGACCTAGCTATCTTTTTTTTTTTTTAAACAGTTTAGGTGCTTTATTAGGATCACCCCTTTTCAAGGGGAGCCCTACTGAGATTCACTGCTTCCTTATGTATGTTTGCATTTTTTCAGAAGCTACTGGGTAGTATTTTGAGAGGAGTCTGAGTAGCTCATGTTTGAGGTGTCTTTGAAGGACAGACGATAGCTGAAGTCAAACTATGCACATTCCAAATAGCTCTGTACAGCCAGAGAGATGTGGAGTCTATATGTTTACATATTCTTTTGGAGGATTTTCCTAGGTCTGAAGAAAGAAAGCAGATCCAGATTTTTCTTGCCTCGTCTCTCCATCTCCCACCAGGTTTCTTTACTTCCCACTTTTATTCAAATGGTATTTCTATCCTAGTTACTGAAAGTTGCCAAAAGGCAAGGCCAAGCTCTTTCCAGGGAATTTTTTTTGTATAAATATGATATTCATTTCTTCTACATATTATAATCCCTGATCTATGCAGTTTCTGTTTACCTCTCTTTATGAGAACTGTGGGAATGAATGAAACCATGCTTTGGAATATATGTTCATAAATACATCCCTAAATTATCAGTGATTATTTATCCTTGTACGGGGAGTTAATTTAAAAGCATAATACACGGGGGTGCCTGGGTGGCTCAGTCGTTAAGCGTCTGCCTTCGGCTCGGGTCATGATCCCAAGGTCCTGGGATCAAGTCCCACATCGGGCTCCCTGCTCGGCGGGAGGCCTGCTTCTCCCTCTTCCACTCCCCCTGCTTGTGTTCCTGCTCTCGTGTGCTCTCTCTCTCTCTCTCTGTCAAATAAATAAAAATCTTAAAAAAAAAAAAAAGCATAATACACGGTTGCTGATCTATACGTGCTTCCATATAGCTTTGTTCAATGGCTGAGTTATTGATTAACAGTACCAGTGGATGTGCTTATTTTTGAAAGGGGTTAATGGGATTCTCTACAATGGGAATTTTAAAAAATATATATTTTTAATTTATACGTTCATTTTTAGACAAAATTTAATGTCTTTGTAGCCAGTAAAAATTTCTAAATTTTTAAGTTATGGCAATGGAACAAATTGTTTCTACTTTTTTAGAACAAATTGTTTTTTAACCCAATTGGAATGGTTGAACATTTTCAGTTTCCTGGACACTAGATACTGCATTACAAACTAGGAGTAATAAACACACATTTCCCCTGCTATTTACCACTTTTCTAAGTCCTTTATACATATACTCTAATAGAAACTGTCAAGGTGAATAGTATCGCTGTTAATACAGATGAGAAAAACTCAGGCTCAGGGAAGTTAATTTGTCCAGAGCCGTGCATCCTGGGAAGTGGTAGAACCAAAACTCAAACTCTACCTTTTTAAAGTGGAGACAACATGACACTTACTGAAATTCCTTTGTTTTGTTGTTTAGAACTATTGTACTTTCTCAAATGATTTGAAAACTTTTAACATCTTGACAATTTGGGCATTAAATATAAGGCATTACTATTGGGCAAAAAAATAGATCAAAAGTGTAGAGTGATTATATGACTAGGTTTCATAAATTATATTCTGATGAATTTGTCCTTGTTCTTTTTAAAAATTGTATCTTCAAAGCAGTTGTGGGGCTCAAATGAGAACAAACACTTTAAAAGTCCTTTGTGAATTGTGAGGTTTTCTTCCTGACTTTGATATGAATTGGTTTTTAAATTATGAAAAAATACTGATACTCTTTGAAAGCATAGAACACAGTAAATGTGATAAAGAATCTTATACATCCATACATAGTCACAATATTTTTGGTCATTGGTACAGTACTGGTCATGGGGAGTGCCTTCTTGACAAACCAAATGGGAGAATATATGATCTGTCTTCACAACTTCCTGGATTAATGTATGATGTAAACAAGCAATGTGAACTTATGTTTGGTCCTGGATCACAAGTATGTCCCTACTTGGTAAGAAAAATTCTGTCCTTTTTTTTTTGAAAACTACAAAGTTATAGTTAGAATATATTTCAAAAATGTACATTTGTTCTCTTGAACAGAAGGTGAACTAGATGTATCTTAGAAGTTTGTCAGAGAAATTTGCTGTTTGCCAGAAAGGGGTTAAAAAGGAAACTAAAATTTATTGAGTACTTATATGCCATGTACCGTGTTAAGTGCTTAAAAATATCTTCATTAACCCTCACAAAATCCTAGGTGAAGTATTCCCATTTAAAAAATAGACACTGAGAGGTTATTGAAAATTAAAAGCATTCAAATATTTATACTCAAATACTATTTTTTGGGGTGGGGGAGAAAATTTAAGTGTCTTGATAATGAGTTATATTAAAGGCCCCGGGAACTTAATAGACTACATTTTAATTTACATAGATTTGAATCCATAGAAATGAAATTTAGGGCCTGTTGTTTAGTTATCACTAAACTCTTATTTTACAACTCTGAGGATTTTTCATAGGTCAGATACACTCCTAGGTCATGAGGATCATTGGACCGGGAATGCAGCCTCATTCACTCATTGAAATATGTATCTCCAGTGTTCAGGATCTGCCACAAACTAGGTGTCACAAACTAAATGCTCGTTGAATGAATGAATGAATGAATGAATGAAAGTAACAAAACAGTAAGTGCAGAGATAGGCAAAGCATATTCCGCATAGTAGTATTGTTTTTAAAATCTTAAACTGATAATAAAAAATGTTACTAAGCTTTTAAATATCCACTATGGAGGAGGGAAGATTTAACTTAAATTTTTTTTTTGTTAAAGATATATTTCTTGGGCGCCTGGGTGGCTCAGTTGGTTAAGCGACTGCCTTCAGCTCAGGTCATGATCCTGGAGTCCCAGGATCAAGTCCCACATCGGGCTCCCTGCTCAGCAGGGAGTCTACTTCTCCCTCTGACCCACTTCCCTTTCGTGCTCTCTATCTCTCATTCTCTCTTTCTCAAATAAATAAATAAAATCTTTAAAAAAAAAAGATACATTTCTTTTTTACCTGACTTACACACTAAATAAACTTTGAATTTAAATTCAGAAAAAGAAGAGAATTATCTTGGGTATAGCTCCTGTGAACCTCTGTGGATTTTGTTTTTTGTGAAAACTTGAGAACCCTTTGTTCAAATGTTGAAAGTATGCATTATATTCGCAAAGTAGGAAACCAGTACATTATACAGTATTTCTATGCACATTATTCATACATTCTATCATCTTATCAAAAGAGGCTTTTGGAAACTCATTGTGGATAACATTTTAACAACAAAAAGTCCTTTAGAAGAATGTCTTGCCAAGAGAAAAATGTCTCCCATAATTGTGAATATTTCCACTCTAATTTCTCTCCCATTGTTCAATGTATGATGAAAATCTAAAAGGTCTTAGAAAGTAAACATTACCATTTTGTATGTTTAGAGGTAAATCGATGACTAGAACTTAAAGATTCTTTTGCTGATTATTTCTAGCTCTGACCATGAAAACACGAAACCTGTAAGATCAATGTATAAAAACCAATGCCTTGCACTAAGTCGATCCAATGTTTGTAGTGTTCTTTTACTCTTGTCTGCTTTTTGTTTCTCTGCAGAAGCAATGCAGACGTCTCTGGTGCACTAGCGCAGAAGGAGTTCACAAGGGCTGTCGCACTCAGCACATGCCCCTGGCAGATGGGACAAACTGTGGTCCTGGGATGGTAGGTTTTCTCGAAGGGTGAGTCTTGTATCAAGAGATTATCCAAGGATGTGATTGCTCTGCATTTCAACGCTCTTCATTATTTGTCAACTTTTGCTGTGCTAGTGAATCAATGTTACCATGTTGGTTCGATGTAGTACACAGTCAAGTGAATTGAATTTTTAATTTCACCCTTTTTTTTTTTTCAAGATCTAGCAGATGAATGTTAAAGTTACAGTTATATAGGTAACTACATGGTTAGTTATCTAAGTATATTATAGACTTGTTAAGAGTGGGTATAGACATAAAGGTCCTAATATTTCAGCAATTTCCCTAAATTCAAGGATGTTACCATTGTATACATTTTCTCCCATAAAATTCAGTTAAGTATAATTGAAAGTTTTAAGTGGCTTCTTCAGATATTTATTGGTTGTAAATGTCTTAAAATATACCCCTAAAATTGCCGAAACATTTTTACTAACATTTTTACCATTTTAACATCAGCATGAACTAATCTAAATCTGCAAACATGATGCTGAGTGATAGGGATCGGTGTGATAAATATGTAAGGATGAGGTCAGGTTGTACTTGGTGCTTCAGGATGAAGGCAACTTCCTTTGGCCTTGGTAGCCAGTGTTGTCTGCACTGAATAAGTTTTAGTCTGTTCCACGCCTTTTCTGAGCTACCTCAGCAAAAATGGAGAACTTGCTTGGTGATGGGTTAGCTACTACTGCCTCTTTTGTTAACTCCACAAGTAGAAACTTGAGATGGATGGGTTCACTAGCTGACCTTGTGCTTTACCAGCTGTTGCTTATTGAAATGTTTGTACTTACTGCCCTTGTCTCTGATGCCTTCCATCAAAAGGCATGTGTTTTCCATGAATATAGCTTGCATTACAAATGAATTGAATATTTAAGTTGTATTTGGGACTTCAGCAATTTTTGCAGAAGCTGAAGTACTCTGAAATGGTTGAGCACCCAAATTATTTTAGGACCAAAATTCCATTGGACTTCTTCAGTTCCTGGTTTGAGCTAGAACTGAATTTTCAAGTTTGATCTTTAATATGTGTATCATTTTAAACTCTCGCAGGCAATGTATGAAAGTTCCAGTTGCTCAGTATTTCTTGCCAATTTTTGATATTGTTAATCTTTTAACAGAATAATAGCCATTTTAGGCGCAAAATGGAATATCATTGTGGTTTTAGTTTGTATTCCTGATTATTGTCAGTCTTGAGCATCTTTTCATTTGCTCACTAGCCATTTGAATAATTCCCCAATGATGTGGTTTGAAGGGCTAAGATTTGTTGGAATTCAAGGTAAATGTGCTCAGATACTGGGACCTACTTTAAAGCCTGTGTAGTTTAAAAGCAGAAATGGCATTTGGGGTAAAAACATCTGGATCATGATAGATATAAACTCCTTATTTTTTATTAATTGAAAATAGCTCCTATGCGTTAGCCATTTTTAATACTCAATGGGTCTTTTATTCAAGAGAAATTTTAAATAAATGTCCTATATTTTGCCTTAACACTCTCTTTTAAATACTTAAAAGTGGTTGTAAATCCATTTGCATGAAAATATGGTAGAACTCACCTGACAATGACTTAATTTAGTACATGGTGAACAATGTAATATTCTATTTTTTTCATTCTTGGATTTATCAGAAATAGTGCTCAAGGATTATTTGAAATGTTTCTGCAGATGCCCCCCAAATTTACATGCACATAGTACATTCTATCCTTAGATTTTCTAATATGGCTTTCTCATTTTGAATGATTTGTTCTAATGGAGGGCACAAAGTATTTTTTCTGCTAATAAGCTTGGTTATAGGATTCATTTTTTCAACAAAGATTTATCAAGGGCCCACTATATGTCAGGCACTATTCTAGGTGATTAGGATACACCAGTGAACAAAAGAGGAAAGATCCCTGACCTCATGGAGCTTACATTCTAGGGGGAGACTACAATATTACAAACAATGTAATACTCCCATAAAGCTGATAAATGCCGTGAACAAGAAAAAATAGAACAAGAAAAGGACTGGAAGTTTTGTGGTAGGATAGGGCCGATTACAATTTAAAATGTAGTGGTCAAAGATCTTACGGGAAGTTGCCTAATGAGCTGTCTTAAAGAAAGTGAGGGAGTTAGCTATGGAGGATATTATGGGGGAAGTGAGCTCCAGGCAAAGGGACCAGGTAAGCTCCTAAATCCTCGAGTATTGGTGGAATGTTCAAGGAAGAGCAAGGAAAGACATTGTGGCTGGAGTGAAGAGAGATGTATAGGAAGTAACTGGAGGACTATTATGTAGGGCATTGCGAGCCATTATGAGAACTTTGCATTTATTCAAAGTGAAATAATTGAAGGATTTGAGCAGAGGGGTCACCTAACGTGAGTTAATTTTTGAAATATAAGTTGAAAAGGACCATTCTGATCACTGTTGAAACTAAGTTATAGGGGGCAAGGGTTGGAAACAGGAGATCTACTTAGAGAGGCATGGCAGTGATCGAGATGAGAGAAGATGATGACTTAGACCAGAGTTGGGATCACTGGGGTGATGATTGAAAGTCAGTTTTGCTTGTTTGTTTGTTTTTGAATGAATTAGATCACTTACTAACATATTAAATGTGAACCGTTAGAGGTAGAATGACTGTTTTTAGCTAATCAACTCAACTCAGAATTTTGAGGGGTCAGCAGTTCAGTTTTGGGTATGATGTCTGAAATTTTTATTAGACATTAAAGTGAAGATGCTTAAGTAGCTGTATACACGAGTCTAGAGCTCAGGAAAGGGATCCGGGCTGGGAGTGATTGTTGATAGGGAAGAATAAAGGACCAAGATCTGAGTCCAGGACATTCCAGCATTCAGTTGAGCCCTAGAAACCAAGGGGGGCGGGGAAGAATGATACTGCTAAATCAAGGAAGACAGAACTGGCCATTGGTGATGTACATATGAGCAGATACATGGAGGGTGGGACCATAAGTGCACAGGCATTGAGCATTAGACAATGAGCACAGACAGCTCATTCAAGGAGAAGCAGGACAGTCAGTAGCTAGTGAGAAAAGTGAGATCTAAGAGTATTGTTTTTAAAGAGGGAAAATAGGGGCACTTGGGTGGCTCAGTCCATTGAGCATATGACTCTTGATTTCGAGTCAGGCCATGATCTCAGGGATAGAGCCCACATCACGCTCTGCACTTACTGGGGAGTCTGCATGAGGATTTCTCTCCCTTTGCTCCTCACCCTGTTTGTGTGCGCGCACACACACACTCTCTCTCTCAATAAATGTTTAAAAAATAAAGAGGGGAAATAAGTATGTTTGTATATTGAGAATGATCTAGTGGAGTACTTCTCAAATTATCTCTAGTAAAGGACCCGTCTTTTTAAAAATTTCTGGTAATTTAAACTGATACTTTTACAAAATGATAAAAATGACTAGGAAAACAGAAGGAAAAAAGACATTTGAGATGTAAGCCAAATTTTTCTGTGGAAAACAATGTGGCAGATCTTCAAATTAAAAATAGAATTATCTGATCCAGCAGCACCACTTCTGGATGTGTATCCCAAAGAACTGACAACAGAGTCTTGAAGAGGTCTCTGCACACTCCTGTTCATATCAGCATTATTCACAATAGCCAGGAGGCAGAAGTAACCCAAGAGGCCATCCGTGGATGAATGGATAAATGAAACGTGATCTACACATACAGTGGAATATTATTCAGCCTTAAAAGGAAGGGAATTCTGACATGTGCTACAGCATGGATGAACTTTGAGGACAGTATGCTAAGTGAAAAAAGCCAGTCACCAAAAGACAAATGATGCACGATTTTAATTATATGAGATATATAGAGTAGCCAAATACATACGAACAGTAGAATGGTGGTCCCCAGGGGCTGGGGGCAGGGGGAGGGAGAGAATGGGGAGCTAATTGTTTCAAAGGTATAGTGTTTCAGTTTGGGAAGATGAAGAGTTATGTGGATTGATGGTGGTGATCGTTGCACAACAATGTGAATGCATTTTAATGCCACTGAAATGTACACTTAAAAATGGTTAAGATGGTAAACTTTGTGTATTTTGCCACAATGAAAACAAATCTAAGCCAACGTTTAAATTAACTTTGACAAACATGAAATTACTGTCAAAATCCTATAAACATTTCTAAATGCTAATAACTTTTGATTTCTGTACTCGCAGGGACTGGCAACAGTGCATGGACTCCTTTTTTGTTAGCTTTGATCTAGCGGAGACTGGAACAGTGATGATGTAGGAGAGATGGGAGAATTGTTGCAGTGCTGTTTTGAGCAGTGAGGGGTTGGGATTAAGTACACAGGTAGAGGGATTGACTTTCCATAGGATCCTTGATTTTTCATGTACACTAACAGGTGGGAAGGCTGAGTACTGAGCACAGGTGCCATTAGGTGGGTAATAGGAGTACTAGGAGATTGTGAGCAGATTTCTTCTGTACATTTCCATTTTCTTAATGAAAGTAAGAAAGTGATCACTGAGCTTTGGATGAGATGAAGCAAAAAATTAGCTAAAAGAGTGGGAGAGTGATACACATCTTTGCATAGAAAACCAGAATCACAGATCTATATCATTCACTTAAATTTTCATTTTACTACACTTTACCCATACAGCAGGTCTTCCCTCCACCAGTGAGACTCAAAATCTCAAAGGCAAGGGAAATTTCCTATTCTTTCTTCATTCCACAGATCTTTTTACAGTTACTTAGCAGATATTAAGAAAATATTTATGACTGTCAAATGGAATCAGATTTCTGAATTAATATTGTGCTTTCAGTTGTATACATTTTCTTTGTTGATATTTATGCTGTTATAATTACTGATATTCTAATTGGGTACATACAAATCATTTTGTGTGTTTGTTTTTGTTTTTAAAGCATTGCCACCATGGGCTGTGTGTAAACAAAGAAATGGAAGCACGTCCTGTAGATGGTGAATGGGGACCATGGGGACCATACAGCTCTTGTTCAAGAACATGTGGAGGTGGCATCAAAAGCACAACGAGACTCTGTAATCGCCCCGAGTATGTCTTTTTTATGTCACTGTAAATTAAGATTATCTCAAGGCACCAGAAGGTAAACACCAGTTTCATTCACTTCTAAACTGGAGGTCAGTCTGTAAGTTTCTGAGATTTAGAAAACTTCTGGAATACATTAAGCCATTTTACCTTATCTTGGTAGATTCAAATCTTGAAAAAAATATACACCAGCTTAATCTTTAGAATATGAATTAAGATAGGATCATTTTCTTTTTTTGTGTGTGATTGAGTATAACTGAGAAATAGTTGTAAAAATGACAGTACTGTAATGGCATTTTTATATTTACTGTGTTTCCATTGAAATTCCTGGCTCCTTTAAACATGTCTTGGCTCTTCTGCATAAAATATGTATTTTCATTACCCATTTTTTTACTGTTTTATGTAATTTGACATGTCCTATTTTCTTTCTCTGCTTCTCATGTTATAGATGCGTCAGTGTGTTTAGCCTGAATAAGTCCTGAAGCATATTTTCCCCCTCTTCAAAATATTTCAAAGCATGTAGAGATTCCATAAAGATTTTTAAATGTCCCCCCAGTCCCCTTTTGTTATATAAATTGGTAAGCAATAAAGAATTTTCAATGCAGAGATAGGACACACTCTGAAATAACTTAGTTCATTTGAATTTGAGAATATCTAAATTATGCTAGAACTCTTTATATTTAAAAAATGCTGACAGTTTTTATTTTCCAGTGTAAGTTGAAATAAAGAGATGGATGGATGTAGATTAATACCATGAAACTCTTTGGAGTGATAAGTAGTATATACATAACAGAGATGCCTATATATTTCTTTAACATGGTATCATCTTTATCATCTATGGTTCACTAGGTCTTTTTTTTTTTTAACCCCCCTCAAAATGAACAAACCCTATTTTGACGTTTTATTTTTTTTTTTTGACATTTTAAAACAAATTCCCACGATTAGTTCCCTGTGAGTTAACCAAGTCATGAATAAGTTATCATTTCTGCCCTCCAGACCACAGCGTCCACCCGAAGATGAGTATTTTTACAGTTCATTAGCCATTGAATTGCTTAAGAACCATGTAACATACTTCGGTTAAAAAGTGTCAGTGGGGCAGAGGTGGTTTTCCAGATCCTGGGACACAATGGAACAATTTTAGAAGTAAAGGGCAGAAAGAATATTGTACTGATGTGCTTTAAAATGTAATGAATTTGACTAGGCCAAGAAACGGAGGAAAGTACTGTGTGGGCCGCAGGATGAAATTTCGATCATGTAATACCGATTCATGTCCAAAAGGCAAGCAAGACTTTCGAGAGAAGCAGTGCTCTGATTTTGATGGTAAACATTTCAACATCAATGGTCTTTCCCCTAATGTGAGGTGGCTTCCAAAATACAGTGGGAGTAAGTAGTTAGAATATTTTGTGATGTAAAAATTTCTTGAGACCTAGGAACATACAGCTGTCTTATGGTATGCCCCAATTTTAACTTTTTCTTACAGTTGCCATAAAAGATCGCTGTAAACTCTATTGTCGGGTTGCTGGAACCACTAACTTCTACCAGTTGAAGGACAGGGTTGCTGATGGTACTCCTTGCGGCACCGAAACCAATGACATCTGTGTTCAAGGCCTCTGTCGGGTAAGTAAACTCAGGTTTAACGCGACTGTCAGAGTATTCTTTTTCTCTCGCCAAGTATTACTTCTGTTACCTCAGAATACATTCCTGTGAATTCCAGTGCAGTTCCCTTTAGTGCTATCACCCTTTCTTTTGCAGTAGGGTCAGGAGACCTTGTTACTAGGCAGCTTTCTGTCATCCTGAGTGACTCATGAAACATTAATCATTTAATCATTCTTAAAAAGATAGAAAATGTTGGGATACAGGGTTGTCAAGTCCTTTGGCTACTTCAAATGCGACCTTCCCTGGTGACCCCTCCCCGTTGATTAGTGATGATATTCCCCCCCCTTTTCTTTTCCTTTTTTTTTTTTTTTTTAACCATCTATTTACTTGAGAGGAGGGCAGGTAGAGGGAGAGGGAGAGAGAAACCTAAGCAGATGCCATGTGGAACCCGATGTGGGGCTCCATCTCATGACCCTGAGATCATGACCTGAGCTGAAACCAAGAGTCAGGCACTTAACTGCGCCACCCAGGCACCCCTCCTTCCTTCCTCTTTTCATCCTTGTCTTTGGCTTCCTGGGTATATTCAACAGACATTCGCTGACTTACCTACTCAATGTTGGGTACTGTTCTAGTCACCTGGATGAAAGACTGCAACAGAGCCATAAACTCCAGGGTGGTCACAGGTTTGTAGGGGAGGTAGACACATGAACAACTCAAATGTAGGGCTATGGGGTCATCAGCAAAGTGACACAGGGATAATGAGGAAGGAGTGTTTTGTGGGGAAGTGTGTAAGTGGTTCAGCGAATGCTCATGGAGGGTGTGAGGCTTGAGCTAGTTATTGAGGATGAATAGCTTTTAGAAAGGTGAGGAAGTAAAGGACTGGTCGGACATAGGGGTTAGCTGTTACATGCACCCTTTTTTCTGGAGTCCTGGAGGTCTCTAGAGGGATTTGGGGTTGAGTGAGAGATGTGATTTGGTCTGCATGCTAGAATCTTCAGAATATACTGGGTTAGGAGAGAATTGGAGATAGGTCGGCCCCTTTGGATTCTAGGTGAGAAGCAGATGAGACCCAGGATTAAAGCACACACAGTGCAGAAGGTGTTCTTAAAAATGGTGAGTTTGAGAACTAGGATAATGAATTCTGTCTAAAGAATACAAATGTAATATTATGAACTCATTCCTTGGGTTAAGATACCAATTTTTCTCTTAGCCAAACATCTATTACCAGTTACCTGGTGATAAAATGCTTTGCACTCAAAGGTCTAATGAGATGTTCAAAGTAAAGGAAACAAGAGACTAGAAAAAGGGTACTCAGTGGCCTGAAAACTTAACTTTTATCTAAATTAACAGCACAAAGTCCTACACAATGAAAAACAATGATGATCTGAGCTTATAGGTGCACATTACTTTCAGAAAACATCTGGTTGAAATTCATTTTGGAAATATTCGCCTTGTGTATAAAAGAAGGAGACTTATGAAATTTTCTCTTCTGATCATGAAACTTTAGAGGAGTATTTTAAAGAACTAAGAGTTATTGCCGTGTATCTGCATGGAGAACTGCACTTGTTCTTTTAAACCCCTGAACCAAACCGTTCACTTTCAACCTTTATCCAGTTATTCATTCTTGACATAAACACAACTTACTAGGCTGGTTATGAATTTTGGAGAAATAAATTTTCAAATAGACTCAGTTTATTCCCAGAGTTCTAAGATCATGAGTTAAAAAATCATGAAAGACATCTTTTTGAAGTTTTTTTTAAATGTGTTACTTACCTAATCATACTTTTTGTCTCTTTGAATTACATTTTTTTAAAGAATGGCTTAAATGGACAGTGGACATAGGAATTATTGTCCATGTTTGTTGCAATGCAGATTCCTTTTTTTTTTTTTACCTCCAAGAATTTTTAATTCAGAAAATCTGGGAATCTGCCTTTTAAAATGCCATCCCATGTGGTTTTGATGCAGGGGGTTATGTGGATAACCCTTTGCAAAACACTTTTTTCAACCATGTGACGAAAAGGTGTGTGAAAATATTGATGTACAACAAAACCAGTAGATATTCTGAAAAATCCTGTTGTACCAAATCTCCCATTAATTGAAAGAATATTTGTGAAAAGTTTGTAAAAGCACCGTACTTATAATTAGTCACTTTTATAATACTGATTATAATCATTGTTATTTTGAAGCAAGCTGGCTGTGATCACGTGTTAAACTCCAAGGCCAAGAGAGACAAATGTGGAGTGTGTGGTGGGGATAACTCTTCATGCAGGACAATGGCAGGTGTCTTCAACAGTGCTCATTATGGTAAGCTGTGTATTTGTTTTAATTTTCCCTTATATTTGATATAATAATGGAGTATATAATGAAGGCATAATAATGGTTTATTGTTTTGCCCTCTCTGTACACTTAGTATTTCAAAATGAAATATATTTTATATTCCTTAATATAAAAAATTATACCAGATGTATCCTTGAATCAATGAATTCATCTGCTAAAGGCAAATCTGATTCTTGAAAATACAGTAGGTACGTTAATTAGAGTAAATCCAGTGCTATTTGACAATGATGTTTGAATAATCCCCCAATTAATAGAGTCTTTATTGCTGTTCCTGTAATCTGAAATGTATATACTTATAATTTTTTCAGGAAACTTGCTTTCAATTACTTTTCATTATTTGTACCACTTTTTTCTATAACCTGTCTTAGCTGTTGTGTTTCTTATTGATATATTGAAAATGATTGAAGGTGAAGGATGAAACCATTTCAGTGTTGATTTGGAATTATTTGGTTTTTCAGGAAGTATCTGGATTATATATATAACGTATTTGGCCATGAATTCATTTTTCTTTAAAAATGATATGAGAAGGTATTGGATATTTTCTCTTCTGAGACTTTTCTAGGAAAACCTTTTGCTTTGTATGGTAACAAATGTAGTCCTTTAGAACTTTCCTTGCAAAATGAAAAATGTATTTTTTACAGTTTTGTCAGCCTTAAATTATGTTCACGTGTGTTTGAACACAGTTAAGTTAGTAAGAATTGCTTTAACTAAAGCAGTATAATTTAAAACACAAAATTTATATTTTTATCTGTATTAAAAGTATACTACATTTATACTCTGGTGATGCTTACGAATCTTAGTTGCTAGCTATGACATTTTTGTGGTTAGAATTCATTATTTCATGGGATCCCTTGTTAAAACCAATGGCACATTTATTGAAGCTTGGGCTCTATCCACTGAAGAACATTTTTTTCTATTTAAAACCACATGTGCCAAATTAGGATCAAATATATAACCTTGCCAAAATTGTATTATAAATTAATCAGTTTGAAAATGGAAAAAGATAACTAAACTCATTTGTAGAGTAGCATTTGTCACATTTCTGCCCCCTGGTGGTAGCCTTTGTCTTTCACATTTGTAATGTCTAGGAATTGCTTTCTTCAAAAACCATTATCTGCAAGACATAAATAGAAGGTAGTGGGAATATCTTATGGTGAAAAAATCATAAAATTCTTGTAGACTGATGACTTACAACCAATATGCATGTAGTGTAATCAGAATTAGCAGACCATTTATCACTTTATATTTAAAATGTGATGCCTTAAAGGGGTATAAAGCACTCTAAAAACATACAAAGTAATCTCACATCAGGGCTGAAAATTTAACCTTTTTTAAAACTTCCTCTTAATTTCATTACATATTTATCAAAGTTAGTGTACAAGAAAAACTCATACAACTCCTTTTACTCATGTATTAAATAGAAGGAAAAACTAATAAGGAAAAGGAACAACTTAGAATAATCACTAGAGGAAAATTGCTGATTAAAATCAGAATATTTGGAAAACTATGTAATGAGTGTAGTGTAGGGAAAACATTCTCTTTTGTTTAATATGTAGTATTTCCTCATCTTTCAAGCACTGCCAGTGTTGTTGAATTTGGTCTCATAAAATAGAAATATTATTTTCATTTCCTTCACATAAATGCTTTACTTTTCTCATGACAATTTGTTAGTAGACTTTTGAAAATAATGTAAAATTTGTGGGGAGCTATAGGAATTCCTGCTTACACTAGAAATGAAAAGCTTAAAAAAATGTTATTAACTTTTGTTATTTTGCTGTTCATTGAATCTCTGTGTAAACATAGCACAATGACCAACTATTTTGGTATCTTTTCGATTGGTGAATAACATTTGAAATCCTCTATTTTTTCCCCACCGCGAAGTATAAAATCTAAAAGTATTAGTGTTAAATTTAAAAATGAATGTATTCTTAAATATCTCAGGAACTGTAATATTAACTCCATTCTTATTCTATATTTAGAATTTTAGAAGAAAAAATAAGTATACTTAAGGATCCCAAACTGTATATTTCTAGCAACCATTTTTTCCTCAATCCTTAGTAATTGTGTAATGCGTTGATTCAAAAAGAGTAAAAACACTGTATCATTTTTGAAAGATAAAATGAAATTAAGTCTGTGCTATTCAGTGTTTGCAGTCACTCAGCCATAATAGCCTCTGGGCCATCAGCTTATGGAAGTTAACATGTATAAAATTATATTGCAGGTTATAATGTTGTTGTCAAGATTCCCACAGGAGCAACAAACATTGATATTCTTCAGCACAGCTATTCTGGAAAACCAGAAGATGACAATTACCTTGGTAAACATTTCTAGTAAACAACCAATATGTGATTCGTGTGCAATTTCATGGAGGTCTGCAGTTGATGTAAATTCTTAGAAGGCAAGAAGAGCCCCTTTAATAAACATGCAGTTCAGTTCATACTGAGCTTAAGTCATCTGACTTCCTATACATGTTCTCCTCTTGAGTTATATGCTATATTTTATTTTAAAAACACTGAACAAAATTCTGAAAAATTTGCTTTTTCCCCATAAGAGTGTTTTAAATAACCAAAGGTTATGTTCAGTTAAAGTTGCATGTATATTTAGAATAAAATTCTTTCTTTTTATCTAAAATTAATTATAGACTTCCTTGTGGTTAAATGTTCTTTAAAGAATTGAAGTGTTTTTACTCTGTATCAAAAGTACTTATATGATTTCACTCATATATGGAATTAAAAAAACAAAACAGATAAACATAGGGAAAGGGGGGAAAAGGGAAGCAAACCATAAGAGACTTAACTACAGAGAAGAAACTGAGGGTTGCTGGAGGGGAGGGGGATGGGGCAATAGGGTAACTGGATGATGGGCATTAAGAAGGGCACTTGTGATGAGCACTGGGTGTTGTATGTAAATGATGAATCATTGAATTCTGAAATCAACATTACACTCTATGTTAACTAATGAGAATTTAAATAAAAACTTAAAACGCTTATGTTAAAGCAAGACAAAAAGAATTGATTTCAGATTTTTAAATGTTAATGAATATGCCACAGTATATTGTCCTCTAGCTACTTCTAGGGTATAGGCTTCATTATGTTTATTTTTAGAAATTAGCTTTCAGGGCGCCTGGGTGGCTCAGATGGTTAAACGTCTGCCTTCGGCTCAGGTCATGATCCCAGGGTCCTGGGATCGAGTCCCGCATCGGGCTCCCTGCTCCTTGGGAGCCTGCTTCTCCCTCTCCTTCTCTCTCTCCCTCTGTCTCTCATGAATAAATAAATAAAATCTTTAAAAAAAAAAAAAAAAAAGAAATTAGCTTTCAGCCTTAAGGAATATCACCTAGGGCCAAAGATGAAAAGAATGCTTTACAAACCTTTCCTTCTGTCTGGGAAATTCTGGAAGGCCGTTGATAGAGTGCCTCTATCATGAAAAAGATCCAAACAGTTATATGGAAAATAGTATGGTCATTGCATGGCTCCTTAGGATATTGGCTCCTAGAATTTTATAGCTTTGTACGTTTTTTCCAAGAGAAGCGTAAATGGACTATTGCAGCAGTCTGGGTGGTGTTCTTTTCCTCACCATCAATGACCAGGACTGGTTTAGCTGATGTTTCTCCAGCGTCTCTGAGTTCTGTTTTTCCTCTTCCTACATGTCCCTCCTGAAGCTGCAGGCCTCTTGAAAGATGACATTCTCAGAAAAGTATAGGGTAAATTTAATATCTTTAGCTGATATGCTGTAGCTTCCCTTTGTATGGATTAGATAATACATTATAGTAAAATACAATTTATTTCCTCAAAAATAATTTACATTTACATTAATTTCAGAAATGGATTTGCATTTTAAAAGTTAAAATACTTTTTGTATTGTTGATTGTACTGTTTTATTATTTCATGAGTCCTGTTCTTTTACAGCATTATCTGACACTAAAGGGAATTTTCTTTTGAATGGGAATTTTGTTGTAAGTATGTCAAAAAAAGAAATCAACATACAAGGAGCTATTTTTGAATACAGTGGTTCAAACAGCTCAATTGAAAGAATTAATAGTACTGATCGGCTGGAAGAAGAAGTTGTTTTGCAGGTAAATTCTCAGGAGTCATTAATAAGACTTAGTTTTAATCCTATTAGTAAACTGATGGTTAAGGACTTTGCATTTATTAAATATAAAAATGATGTCTTTCAAGAATATCTTTTTATGAATTAATTATATGCTCCTGTGTATTTCTATTGAGGTTTTGTGTGTGGGTAATTTATACAACCCTGATGTACGATATTCCTTCAATATTCCTGTGGAAGAGAGGAGTGACCTATTCACATGGGATCCATATGGACCATGGCAAGATTGTACCAAGATGTGTCAAGGTACACTGGTATTAAGTAAAAGAGAAGTTTGCCTTGCATGCTGGTATAACTTGGAGTACTTTGGGGGCAGTCTGCCTATGGAGTCCCCAACTGTCTACACACACACATCACCACACCAACATACAAAGTTTTCCTACCCTTTTTCTTCTACTTTTCTCCCCATTCATTGTTTCTGATACTTAACAGCCTCATTAGTCTCTCCCCTTTACAACATTCTCAATTACTGCTTTTTTTCTCATTCTTTCTTGCAGTTGAAAGAAGTTTCTCTAACTTGTAATCCACCCCCTCCCCCACTTATTGGGGGGGGATACATTCCAAAACCCTCAGTGGTTGCCTGAAACTGTAGATAGTATTGAAACTCATATGTACTATGTTTTTTCCTATATATAAGTTAGGCACAGTAAGAGATTAACAATAACTGATAATAAAATCAAACCATTGTAACAATATACAGTTGACTCTTGAACAATACAGGGGTTAGGAGTATCAACCCCCCATGCAGTTAAAAATTTCACATATAGGGATGCCTGAGTGGCTCAGTCAGTTAAGTAGCTGCCTCCAGCTCAGGTCATGTCCCAGATTGAGCCCCACATCCGTCCATCTCCTTGCTCAGCGGGGAGCCTGCTTCTCCCTCTCCCTCTACTCCTCCCCCTGCTCTTGCACTCTCACTTGCTCACTCTCTCATATCTTTAAGAAAAAAGTTCACATAAACTTTAGACCTCCCAAGAACTTAACTACTAATAGCCTAATGTTGACTGGAAACCTTACCAATAACAAGCAGTTAACACATATTTTCTGTGTTATATGTATTAAATACTATAGTTTTACAATAAAGCAAGCTAGGGAAAAATACTAAGAAAATCAGAAGACAAAATACATCTATGGCACTGAAGTGTATTTATTGAAAAAACCATGTGTGAGTGGACCTGCACAGTTCAAACTCATGTTGTTAAAGGGTCACTGGTACTTAATGAAAGTTCTGTGAATGTGGTCTCTCTCAGAATGTATTGTACTTGGGATGATGTGAGGTGATAAAATGCCCACGTGAATGAATGAATGAAGTGAGCTGAATTCAGTAGGCTTTTGACAGCATTAGGTTCTATTGACCTTCAGGTGGTACATTAGAAAGTGGATCATTTTCTGGACTGTGGTTGATGCAGGTAACTGAGACCACAGAAAGCAAAACCACAGATGAGGGGGTACTAATATATACTGTTTTCCAGTGAAATAAGTGTTCTCTCACCCACTCCTCTCCATGCACTTTCCCAGTAACATATCTCCTCCTTTCAGTATTGGGGTATCTGACATCTTTTCATTCTCTTATTTTTCTTCCATGACCACAAGAAAATACATTTGTACTGTTGGCATGAATAACTGAGAGGAGCATAGTGGGAAATGGAAAAGCAAGGACATTTACAGTAGAGCAAAAAAAATGAAGAGACTGGAGTCTTTGGGAAATCTGTAATTATGGATACTTAATTGAGTAATACTTTTCAAGTCAGTAAGTTTGAGAGACTACTTAGTTTTGAATTAAGACCCCAATTCTGCACTCAAGTTTTAAATTCTGGTGGATAAAACAAGCATGAGTAGATTTTCTTGGCATAAGGTAGCAAATGCAACGCTACAGGTATGCAGGGAGAACCACAGAGAAGATGGAGCCATTTGTTAGGAGATTCAATTTGAAGGTACAGGGAAATTTGGTGCAGTGGACTGGAGAAAAGTTTTGGGAATTAGGGGAGCGGTGATCCAGAGGAGAGGGTGCTCAGAACCATATGGAAATGAGCTGAAATAAGGTGGGTAGCCAGAGGCAGTGACCATGGATTATGGGAATGTGAGGGACAGACTAACAAACTGACCTCAAGGTGCCAAAGAAATTGTGGTGCCCCATTCAGAAAAGAAAAAAAAACACAGGCTTGGTCCTGTGATGTTGGGATAGTGGTGCTCAGAATGATTGCATGGGAACAGATGTTTTCACTGGGACAGTGTCTCTGGAGGGAGGCTGCCATAGGTGGTCAAGACTGGCATAAACACTGGAAGGAGGAACAAAGCTTTGGTAGAAATTTGGAGAAATTCATTTGACAGAAGGATCCTAGATATGCCTTACAAAGGGAATGGTGATTTGGGGAGCAGGGAGCAGTGTTCCAGCACTGAGTGGGTACACTGGTCTGTGGCAATGGATATGGGGAGCCAGGAACAAATCCAAACATCAGATGAGTGAAGGAACATGCAAAAAATATGGGGAACACCCAAAGTAAAGAATAGCAAGCTCCAAATAGAAGGTTGGACATGACATGATGAAATGGTTTGGGAGTCTGAACCAGAAAGAGATCTCTTAAACAATTCTGGGCTGGAGGGGAAAAAACTGTTAGTTGAGTCGCCACATAGTATACTATGGTTATATTACCTCTTTGTATGTAACTTTTTAGTGTCTCTAGAAGGAAATTCCCTCAGGGACACCTGGGTGGCTCAGTTGGTTAAGCATACCAATCTTGATTTCAGCGCAGGTCATGATCTCAGGGTTGTGAGATCAAGCCCTGCATCAGGCTCTGCTCTTGGCATGGAGCCTACTTAAGGTTCTCTCTTTCCCTCTGCCCCTCCCCCCACCCTGTGTGCGAGCACGTGCACTCTCTCTCTAAAAAAATTAAAAATTAAAAAATGACATTCCCTCAGTTTTGTTATTCTGTGTACTGAATGTAATGAGTTCCCAAACTTTGTTAAGATTTTATTTATTTGAGAGAGAGAAAGAGATAGCAACAGAGCACAAAAACAGGGAGGGAGAGGGAGAAACAGGCTCCCTGCTGAGTAGAGAGCCCATGTGGGTTTCAGTCCCAGGACCCTGAGATGATGACCTGAGCTGAAGGCAGATGCTTAACTGGCTGAGCCACCCAGGCACCCCATGAATTCCCCAACTTTGTGAGAGCTATAAATTTTATCATATTTTCAAGTGCATTGTCTTGGTTTCAATTTTCCTTTACTTTTTAATCAGTCTGCTGTTAATATGGCCCTCTTTTCTCTTGCTCTAATTTGGTTTTGTTGCTTTTAGTCCTTTTACATGGCTGTTATCTTGAACTTTTCCCTTCATTATTGTTCTGGGGATTTCCTTCTGTGTTGGATTCCCTGTTTTCTACATCCCATGAATTCCTCTTTTTACTTCCCCCACTGGTAGAATAGATCCCTCAGGATATTCCTGAGAAAGAGAAGTAGTTTCTTGTGACCTTTCATATCTGAAAATGGCATTATTCTACTCTCACATTTGATCAGTAGTTTGTAATAAATTCTAAGATTATTATACTTTAGAGGGTTGAAAGTCTTGTTTTCTGGTTTCCTGTGTTTCCACATGACACTTTCCTTTGTGGAAGTTTGTGGCTCCTGTCTTTAATTCTAGTGTGAAATTTTAGGACAATTTGCCTTGATGTTGGTGTGTCTTTCATCTATTTTCCCAGGTCATTAGGATGCCATTCACATTTGGAAACAGATTTTTTGACTTGAGAAATTTTATTGTATGATTTCTTTGGTAGTTTCCTCACATTGAATTTTCTCTTACATGTTTCTGAAATTTGTATATTTTAGACATTCAACCTCCTAGACTGATCACTATTCGCTAATTTCTTTTCTGAATTTACAATAATGTTTTTACCCCTAACATCTTGCTTTTGTTTCATAGATGTGTAGTCTCTGGCAGTATTATTCATAGTCTTTAAATTTTCTTCTGACATAATCTGTTTCATTTTAGTTTTATTTCATTTTTGTTTATTTTGGTCTTGTGTGTGTTAGTGGATTTCCCGAAATGTCTGTTGATCCTTTGCTATTTGTTCATATTTAAGCCTAAAATGCTGATTGAAAGTTCTCGGTTGGTCAAATAAGTCAAGTAGGACCTCATTATAGAGTAATTGGATCACCCAGTAGCCCTTTCATGTGTCATTGGAGGAAAAGCCCCACATGTCATTGTCAGTTGATCTTTTGGGGATTAAGGAGCCTCTCAAGAGAGGAATCTTTTCATCTTCTAATGGTCAGCAGGGAGACTTGGGAACCATAAAAGCTTGGAGCCAGAGGGAAATGGAAAGAGTCCAGTAGGCCTGGTTCTCATCATTCAGTATGGAGACATTTTCTTAATTCCCCTATTTTTGGAACAGTGCTTCCCCAACTTCCCTGAGCTGTCTGTGCCTTCAAGTTCAGTTTCTCTAGAGCTTTGCTGTCAAGTATGGTAGCCACTAGCCAAATGGAGCTAGCCCATTGAAATGTGGTATAAGAGTGAAATGCACAATGGATTTTGAGAGCTCAGTGTGAAAAAAAATACCAATTTTTATATTGATGTTAAAATGATATTTTAGATACTTGAGGTTAAACACATTAATATTAACTATTTCACCTATGTTTACTTTATTAACATGACTACTACTAGTAAATGTGAAATTACATACATGGCTCACATTGTATTTTTATTGGATAGTCCTGCTCTTGACTAGAAGGGTAGGAGTCTATTCTTCATAAATGCTTTTCAATACATTATCCCCATTTTTTTTCAGGCCTACCCTTCACACATTCACCTCTTCAGCAGAACCTGGTGTTTTCAACCCTGGGATTTTCTTGGATTCTTTGGCATGAATGGTTTATTATTCACTTGTTTCCTCCACAGGCTTAAGTTTCAGCTTTCTTGGCTCTGTGATTTCCATCTACTTTTCATATTCAAAATCTCCTTTTCTTACTCACTGTGTTTCCTTTTTTATTCTTTTTGCTCTTTTAGGTTTATTCCTTTTCAAAATTCCTTATGGTTTTTTCAGATGGTATTTAGGAAGGAGCAAAGATAAACATGCATGTTCATGTTTGGCTAACTGAAAGTATACAGTGGAACTTTGATGAAACAGAAACTTGATCGTGTCACTGACTGCTTAAATTTTTTCCTGTCTCCTCATTGCAGAAAGTGGAAAGTTCTGTCTACTCTGGCCCTTTATAATCACTTTTGCTTATGCTGTGGTTATGCTGCATACAACCAACCAGTAAATCTCAATGGCTTTGAAAGACCAACATTTATTCTTTGTCCTACTGTGTTTTAGCTGTTAATTGGCTATGACTGTTCTCAGCTTGGTATCTGCATCCATGTCATTTAAAAAAAATTAAGACTTTTTTAGAGCAGTTTGGGCTTATAGAAAAATTGAGAAGGTACAGAAAACACACACATTGTCTTTTTCACCTCCCCCCCTCCCATTCCCCTTTTAACATCTTGAATTAGTGAGGCACGTTTGTTACACTTGATGCATTATTAACTACAGTCCATAGTTTACATTAGGGTTCAGTCTTTCTGTTATACATCCTACGGGTTTTGACAAATATTTAATTGCACATATCTACTGTTACAGTATCATGCAGAATACTTTCACTGCCCTAAAAATCCCTCCCTCCAGGCCCCTTGAACCTAACAACCAATGATCTTTTTAATATCTGTGTCTTTTCCATTCACGATTCCAGGCTGAAAGATCAACCCCATCTGGGAAAGGCTGTTTTAGAGACAGGGGAAAGGGAAAGTGAGCTGGGCAGAAGTATATAGTAGCTTTTAAAGCTTCTGCTTAGAAGTGGAAAGAGTCACATCCTTTTGCAGTTGGTTGGCATAAGCCCAAAGTCAATGAACAGGGAAGTATATGACTCTCACAGGAAGTTATAGTAACATTGTAGCAAGTGGAGACATGCAGTTCTCTAATGAGGAAAAGGGAAGCAAATAATAGGGAACCCATAACGTACTACATAGCATCAGTGCCAACCCTGACCACTCAGCTGTCCGCTAACCAGTCCAGCCAGCTCTAATGAATCTTTTTCTATTCCATATCTGGCCCACCCTCCTTATGTCTCTTTACTAAGTAAACTCCTCAGTCTTTCAGGATTCAGCTTGTTTACTCCAGAAAGTCATTCCTGACTAAATTAATATGCAATTGGAATCCTGTGTTGGAATTTTTTTGCTTTCTTAGCTGAATCCTTTAGGTTATTAGCAGAATTAAATAATTCTAGAACATCTACTTAAAAGACCTTTCCTTTTAATTTTCATTTGACTTTGGCCAAGGTCTTCACAGAAGAAAAATTACCTGCATTCGGAAGAGTGATCACATGGTAGTGTCTGATCAAAGATGTGACCACTTACCACTTCCATTGTTTGTGACTGAAAGGTGCAATACAGACTGTGAACTAAGGTAAAAGAAAAATGTGTAATGTAACCAGTGTATGTATAATGTAACCAAGTTAAAATTAATAAGTGAGATAAGATGTAAAGCATCTAGTACAGAGCCTACTCAGATGTATATGTAATTAATGTCTATCCTGTGTCCCTGCTGGTATAAAATTTCAGGCTCACTAATTTATTGTGAGACTTGGCAACTGATTTGAATGTTTGTTCGTAATATTTGATGAATACCAGTATATAGGCCTCAAAATTTTGTGTAAGAAATGGAAAGAAATTTGTAAAATATATGGGTAAACTCTAAACTTAAAATCCGTGGTTTAAAGATCTGAAACAAATTTTGTAGAATGATTGTATAATTCCCTTTGAACTTATGAACCAATAAACTTTTAAAAGTTTAAGGATTAAAGAATCAGTAGATTGGTTTCTTGATCTTATCAATATCTTGTCCATTAAACATTAAGAAACATATGATCCTAGATTATGGGGCAGGGAAGTATCCACTTCTCAATTTCCTCTCTTTTGGTGGGCGTCATGTGGGGGGTCTTAGAGCAAAGCTAAGAACAACCCCACCTAGTGAGTGACCATTAACATCGAGGGATGGCCAGAACCTCTCATTCAGCAAGGAAGATCACTTTTATATATTTATGTTGTTTGAAGGCATAGCGGAAGAGCTGCTTGAGTAAGTCTCATCCAGTTACTGCCGTGGAGTGAAGCACAATGAAATCCTCCAGTTGCTATTGGGAATTGAAACAAACTCTGTGAATTCTATGCTCTGTTATACTGTTGCACTCATATTGTTTGATAGATTGCTAGACTATAATTGGGATAATTTGGCTAAAATTAGCAGATTTTTACTTGCAGAAAAAATGTTTTCTCTGAAAATATGTCTAAAAATAGATTACAAGAATGAGAAAATGTGATAGGCTCTATAAAAACCTAGTTTTGCCAACTTTTAAAGGCTTGGTCTTATCGATACAGTCAGATTCCCAGATATTTCCTGATTATGAAATACTTTAGTGTGGTTGCATAGAGAGATAGCACCTGATTGTGAGTCAGATATATTCAGCCCTAAATCTGCCACTAAGTGACTAGGTAATCTTGATCTAAACCAGCTGTTTTCAAAGGCTTTTGGGAAAGCTTGGGGTTCCTTGGACCTACCTCCAAAGGCACCACCAGATGCCAGAGTGCGGTCACGAGGTAATAGTGCTGCCTCCGTATCTCCAACTTTAACCAGACCACCTCCATTTTTATATATTTGGAGAGCAAGTTAAATTTTATTTTGTCGGGGAGTCAAGCATTTATATTATGTGAACACATCTCTGAGCATTATTTTCTCATCTATAAAAATGAAAGTCTGGGCTTATGTCAGAATTTTTCATCTAATATATCAAGTATTTTCAGGTGGCTTGTCAATCTTTTCAAAATTGAATCATATGCATGAATTTCTCTGAATCCATATTTTTAAATTGCATTAATTGGCATCCCTAAGTGTAATAACATCCTTTTTTCTAGGTGGCACATCATTGGCAAAAGTGAATGTTCATCCCATTGTGGTCAAGGATATAGGTCCTTGGATGTCCACTGCATGAAATATTCCATTCATAAAGGGCAAACTGTTCCAGTAGATGACCACTACTGTGGTGACCAACTTAAACCTCCCACACGAGAACCCTGCCATGGTGACTGTGTCTTAACAAAGTGGCATTATTCAGAATGGTCCCAGGTACAAATAACCAGTATTGCTTAAGAAAAGTCGCCCCCCCCTTTTGTTAAATATTTGTTACTCTATATTTTTGTTAAAATCTTATTTTTTTCATTTGTCACCACTGGTGTTTGTTTTTGTCCTTTTAATCAGTGTTCCAGGAGTTGTGGAGGAGGGGAAAGGTCTCGAGAATCTTACTGTATAAATAACTTTGGCCACCATCTTGCTAACAGAGAATGCCAAGATATTCCCCGAGTGACAACCGAGAATTGCAATGAATTTTCCTGTCCCAGTTGGGCTACTAGTGAGTGGAGTGAGGTAACATTGAACAGATGAGGCTAAGAACTGTTACAATATTTTGTAGGAAAGCTTTGCAATTTAAGGCTGTAAAGAAGTCAAAAGTAATTTGTTCTTACTTTGTAAATAACTATTATCAAGGCAATAACAACTTAATGGTTTGTTCTTAAATTATTTATACTGTCTGGCTAACAATAACATTGATTGGTGTTTAATCACTAACCATTTTCATAAAGTCCCAGTGTCCACAGTAGCCTGAGATATATACTTAAGGTTAGTTTTGTACCTTTGTTTCTAGGACAATTGGATGCTGCACTGGGATTTGGGCAGCAAATTTGGGGTGACTGATCTTACCTGGTGAATATCTCTGGAGAACTGGAGGGAAAATGTCATTAGGAATGCTCTTTCATGTGCATTTTAATGTGTGACTTGATCATTGTGTCATTTTTTTAGGCATTTATATTGACTAATATTAAAAATAATGATCTTTTGTGTTCTTTCAGTGTCTTGTTACATGTGGAAAAGGAACAAAACAGCGGCAAGTGTGGTGTCAGCTGAATGAAGATCACTTGAGTGATGGTCTCTGTAATCCAAGTACCAAACCTGAATCTCTGAGACCATGTGAGCTTCATACATGTGCTTCCTGGCAAGTAGGACCATGGGGTTCTGTGAGTATGAGAATGGTTTTCCTGATTTAATTCATCTCTATAGAATAGTACCAGAATTGTGGTGTGTTCACTCTCTTAATGGAGGCAGCTAAATTTGGGTTGGTTTTTTGGAAAAGTATCTTTGAAATGTAACCTCTCATCTATACAGTTTTATCAGTGCTGCTAATTTTGCTGTGGTAAATAGTTCAGCTTTGCTTTTGAACTCACTTGTTAACCAAAATGCTGCAAATATATTCTTCAGCTTTGTTTAAACTATAAATATTTTCATGCTCTGTGTCTAAATGAGCTTTACTGCATTTAGAGTAGGCATTGTTTTAGAAGTTTTGCCAAATAGGCAGCTAAGAATTTGCAGGATGAGCAGTGGTCAGGCTGGATGAAGATGGACAGCCTGTTAACCCATGGAGGTTGCCACTGTGGATGGGAAACCTTATCTCATCTTCCATTTAACTTTATGCTCTTCCTTCTTCATCTCTTTGAAATTTATTTAGCATGTTAAAAGACCAGGTAGATTTTGAAAAGTATTTAGTCCCCCTAAGTTACATTAACTCTGCCCCCAAACTATCAAGGCTCTATTGACATTTTTACATAACTTTTTAAAGCTACGATAACACTTGGCCATTTTAACATCACTATTATCTGTCTACCTTGGAATAAACGTATATTGATTACATTTGCTAATTTTGTATGGGATCCGATGTAAAGGACTAATGAAAAGATCTGAAAGTATGTTAACTGTATTAAGAAAATTAGGCTTATATAATTTTTGAGTAATGGTGTTGGATATGTGCTTATATTCTTCCAGTGCACGGCCACATGTGGACATGGGTATCAGATACGTGCTGTTAAATGTGTCAATGAGCTGCTCAGTGCAGTGTTAGATGATGGAGTCTGCCATGGAGCCAGCCGCCCAAGTGACAGGCAGGTAAAGGACACCTCTTCTTTATGGATTATAAACAAAAAAAAAAAAAGATTTGTTACAGGAGGATGAATGTGTTAAACTTATTTCATACGTATTTGTCCTACTAATATCCCTTGCAAACATGTTTGTGCACATGTATGTTGGAGAATTTATCTTTTTTAAAGTGTTTCCAGCTTTATAGCTTTATTAACTTTTGTAGTCTTTATCCTCCATTGAATCACTCATTTAACATAGATGTTTTCATCCTTCACACTGCAGAAGGATAGTATCTATTTTGAATACGGCATGTTGTACTTTCTGGGGGTAATGTTCTGTGTGCACCTCAGGATATTTCAGCTTAGCGGTATTTTTGAAGGGCTATTGCTCCTTTTCTTTTCAACCACTGGATAGAATGATCCAAACCTTAGGATTCAGATTTGTACTAACCGCTTGTAGCCCTCGACAGTACTTTGTACTTCTGAAAAATTTAAACTTTTACATTATTAATTTGTAATTCTGCAGCTATTCTTGAATTAGACATGTGGAAGAAATGAAGTATAGAATTTAATAGAAATCAGAGTGAATTCATTGATGTTTTGAGATGCATTTTTCTTTTGAACAGGACTGTATAGTCATACCTTGCCCAGTTATCCCTAAAATTGGGGCCACTTCATTGTCAGCTGTTCCCATAGGAAAGATAGCCCAATGGCGACATGGTTCTTGGACCCCAGTAAGTGAATTCCTTTAAGAAGTATAGTGTTTGGGGGCACCTGGGTGGCTCAGTTGGTTAGGTGTCTGACTTTGGCTCAGGTCATGATCTCGGGATCCTGGGATGGAGCCCACATTGGGCTCCCCAACTCAATGGGGAGCCTGTTACCCCTTTTCCTCTCCCTCTGCCCACGCATCCCCCCCACTAGTGTTCTCTCTCCCAAATAAATACCTTTTTAAAAAAAAGCACAGTTTTTGTATTATGGAGGCTTTTACACATCAACAATGGTCGCTTCAGTTTAGCCAAATTAATGTTATGCATTCATCCTCAGGTAACTTAATGGAGTAGAAGTGGTGTAGGGTTCAGAAATAGATAATTTACTGGCTAAATGCTGCTCTATCCTGCTCTACCCCGAGCTCTGTGTCTCTGGGCAAGAAATTGAAGTTTTCTAGGTCTGTTTTCTCATCTACAAAATGGGGATGATAATATTTATCTCACAGGTGGTTATGCAAAGCAGACATGAAATTAGGCTTTTTATCAGCCCTTATTTGGAGTATATGCTTTGCTTTAATCTTATATAGAAGCTATATTAGTAAGCTTCAGGTAGTCTCTGAATATTTTAATTATGGGATCATATCGACCCTGTTAGATGTTTAAAGTTATTTAAAATAAGATTGTCTCATAAAATGTTTCCTGAATCTTTATAGCAAATAATAATCAGTATTCTAAGAAGTTGAGTAGTATCTTATTCTCATTGCAAATATAGGATCCGAACTGAGTGGGGTATTCATTGCCCTGTCTTTATTTGACTCAGAAGTGAAACCAAGTGATATCATTTAAAATCTTTTTTCAAGAAACTTCATGTTTTAGAAATTTGAGCAAAAGCTACCTGAGAGAGTTACTGTGTAACACTTTGGTTTAATCCTTTTTTTTTTTTTTAAGTGCTCTGTGTCTTGTGGACGAGGTAATCAAGCGCGCTATGTAAGTTGTCGTGATGCTTACGATGGAATAGCAGATGAATCCTATTGTGCCCATTTACCCCGACCTGCTGAAGTATCTGTCTGTTTTAACCCTTGTGGGGAGTGGCAAACTGGGAATTGGTCACCTGTAAGTATTTTTATGAGAAAAAATAAATTAAAACGTTTAAATATACTTGATATTTAGTATAATAATGTAACTTATTACATTATAAATGTTGCCTAAATTTGTGATCAGTGTTCAGCTTCCTGTGGCCATGGGAAAACAACGCGACAAGTTTTATGCATCAACTACCATCAGCCAATTAATGAGAATTACTGTGACCCTGCAGTTCGCCCTTTGATAGAACAAGAATGTAACCTGGCAGACTGCCCACCCATGAACAGTCACTTTCCAAGTTCCTCTGAGCAGCCGAGCCATTTTCCAGGCAGGAATTTTCCATTAACTCACAAACCAGAAGATCATCAAAATCAGGGGGTCCATCCGTCAATCAGAGGAAACCAATGGAGAACAGGACCATGGGGATCAGTAAGTCATCTTTATTGAGTTATATTAATTCTGTAATTTTGTTATATTATAGCCTTTTAATAGATATGTATGTAATGACATCAAATACTTTTAATGCTAAATTTATCTGAAGATCAACAGTTTAAATCTTAAAAGGATTAAGTGATTTTTGATGCAGATGATAAGTCCCCAGAGTTCTTATTGAACTATACACTAATGTGATATTATGATTACAGAGGAATGCACTTAAAAACAATCTGATTAGAGTCCATTATAATAAAAAAAGAATTTTTTAAGACGTTAAGACTGCAAATGTTTATTAAAAAAAAAAACCTAGAAATTTCTGTAATAGTGCAGTAGGCGGGTGTAAAACCATGAAACTACAAAAGGTACAATTGTAGCTCTTATTTTACATAAAAGTTGAGACAAAGAAAAACAATATCAAAGTTAAGTGACTTCATCTTTTTTTGCTTCCTTTCTACTTAACACTTAGGACAGGGCTGAATCGGCTCTTGCAAACTACTATTTCGCCTTTCATCGACAAATTCTAATACACTCCTGTTTTTGGCAGATTATTCCAATGAGGGGAATTTCAGCAGGGGGAGTTTGCATCTGAGTCCAAACACTGATTTTTTTCCCCACTATGTAATTTCATGATGTGGCATCCACAGTTTGTTTTATCCTCGTCAGTGTTCCAGCAGCTGTGCGGGAGGCGTCCAGCACAGGGTTGTGGTCTGCCAGGATGAAAATGGACAGACTGCCAGTTACTGCGATGCAGCCTCCAGGCCCCCAGAGGCCAAGCGCTGTGACTCAGGTCCTTGTCCGCGGTGGAACTACGGAAGCTGGGGAGAAGTAAGTCCTAATGTTTTCTAAACTTGTGGAGATGATGAATCTCTGAAGACTGAAAGTTAAGTACTTCACACTGTTACTGTGGGATAATCTTACTTCATGATACGACACAGAAAGGTTTTATTTTTAGGAAAATCTTGTTCTTTTAATAGACCATCTTGGTATAAATCACTCCTGTGTGATAGGAAATACTCCAGATTTTTTAACAGAATCTAATATGCTGGCCAATATGTCTGTGAACCCCTAATGCCTCTCTAAAATTAGTATATTATTATTTTCTTAGAAAATTTGGTTGATATAAAGATAGAAAATTAGATTAATATATAGCCATGCTGATATCCTATTACTGAGCCATTCATGTGGTGAATTTTCTAAGCAGATGGTTGTCAATTATCAAGCACTTCATGTCCTGGCATTCTTCTAGACACTGGGGATATGAAGATAATTTTTAAAGTAGTTCTCATGAATACTAATTCCACCTATATTGTGCATGAGAAAGAACAAGAAAGATTTATACTGGCTTTGGATGAATAAAATCAACTAATTTAGTCAAATATTTTTGCTTAATGATTTTTAGTATATATTTTCTCATAGAGCATTTGGAAATCCTTGTGTAAAGATACACTTCTGACCAGGTGCTATTAAATACCAAGTCCATTTTAAAAATGTTCTTTTACAGTTTCCAAAATGGAAATGACATTTTTACTCCTGAGATTAGGCAAGCTCATTGTAAAAATTGAAATGATAGGAAAAATTATGAAGAGATAAGAACTTTTAACATTTGATACATTGCCTTCCAGACTTTGGTCTTGTGTGGATTCCACAAATAGATTCACATTACATAGGCTGCTTTGCCACCCACCGCTTTCATGTAACGCATACTGAACATTTTCCCCTGTTTATCAATTTAGGTCTATCTTACTAGCTTTCATGAATACCCAGGAAGCTATTGATAGGTTATCATAAATTAGGGAGTTAATACTTATTACTTAAGTAAATCCGTTTTATTTGACTTGTCTATCTTACAGATCTTTGGTATCTTACTGAAACATGGTACTAATTCTCAAAATTTTGTGTAATTTTTTTTTTAATAATAGAACTTAAACTTTTTTACCCAGGAAGAAAATTCTAGCATTAATACTTATGTATTAGACATTGAATAAAGCAATATAATACTGTCTTTAAAACCACATAGTTTTGAATTTTCTTATTTTTAGTGTACACAAACATGTGGAGGAGGAATAAAGTCAAGATTCGTAATATGTCAATTTCCCAATGGCCAAATGTCACAAGAGCAAAACTGTGAAATCTTAAACAAGCCACCTAGTGTGGTACAATGTCATGTGCATGCTTGCCCTGATGAGGTGACATGGCATCGGGGACCATGGAAATCGGTACGGTAGTAGTAGTATTTTTGCCTGTTTTGTTTTGTTTTACTGTGCCCCCTTTAATTGCTTGTTTGTAAATTGTGGTACACACTATATCTTCCAATTTTTTTATTTTAAGCAGATTACTGGCCATCTTGGTTCGTGGTATTAAATTTGATAGTTTGGAAGAAGAATCCATTCAATTTCAAGTACTGTACTATAAATAATAGTTTTATATGTATTTATTTTTTATAAGTAATATTGAACCATAGCACTATTCTAATGGATATATTTTTCTCCAGTACATCTTTGGCTTGTCCTCTAATTGTAAATGTTTGGCTATACACATTTGTATATAATGTTAACATTGTGCTTGTTACAATGGCAAATTAAGGCTGTGTCTTGTTTAAGTGTATAACTGTATGTGGCTTTTGTCTTGTCAATGTCTAGTAACTGATCCAAAAGCAAATAACATTCTATAAAACTTTTTTTTTTAATCATTGTTAAACTTAGTATCTTGTTTGGAAATGTGAAAATATTAAAAGAGAAATTTAAAGTGAATTGTTTACAGTTTGTTACATACATCATGGAAAACATTTATATAGTAATTTATATGAATATTTCTTCACTGTGTGGAGTTACTCTGTTTTGGGGATGTTTTAATTTATTTTTTTGGAGCCATAGACAAAATTCATTAGGTATTGTTCATTATTGATTAATTTAGTATATTTCAAATATCCAGGCTTTGAAGAATAATTAATATATAAATACGTTGACATTAGCATGTTGGTCACTTTTGATATTTTAAATCCTAAACAACCAAGTACACTTTTTCCATGAAAAACGGATGTCTATTTATAATTTATAAAGTTATACAGTTCTTTATTTGGAAAACAATTATAACTCTGGCTTTATAACCAAACCTGATGCCTGTACTTGGTTTGCTTTTCCCAAGTCAAAGCTTTACATTGTGATGTAAACCTAAGTTTCAAACTCCTGCTGTTTGATGAGTAAGTCAAGTTCTAGGTCAGGCTGAAATGCATCTCTATAGTCAGCATGACTGATATAAAACAAAAGGAAATTGTAACTTTATAGAAGGATCCTAAATTGCTACATCACTTTGTTGGAACTAACAAAAAACATATTTTGCCATAGAAAGCATTCACATATTAATAAAATATTGACCATCTGTATCCTAGGCACCGTGCTACAGAAATTAAAAAAGAAAAAAAGACCTATTTCTTACTCCTGTGGAGTTTATAGCCTAGTTGGAGAGATTTGAGTAGGAACTCAACTATAAAAAATACCCTTTTTTGTTAGCCATCTTACACTGAAAATTCACTTTTTCTTTACTAGATCTGTTACATTGTCTTCCATTTTTTTGGCTGTAGTTTGCAAGCCTGGTTTTTAATAAGGCTATGGATTGCTTTCTTGGAGTTTTGTCCCAATTAGGAAGGCAAACTCCTGACTACTTAATTAGAGGATTACATTGTAATGGCATTTGTTTCTGAGCACAGAAGTTTTATTTTCTTACTCATTCATCAATTCATTAATTCATAAAGCATTAAACATTTGTGCTAGGTATCAAAATACCTAAAATTGTTTCCAATCATATTTTCTATTTCAGGAGTCAGCAGACTATGGCCCATGGACCAAATCTGGCCTATTGCTTATTTTTGTAATAATTTTGTAAGTTTCATGGGAACACATTTTTTTTTTTTAGGTATTATCTATGGCTGCTTTTGATACTACAGTTATTGCAATAGAGGACTTAAAGCCTGAAATATTTACAATTTGGCTCTTTTGGGAAAAGTTTGCTGACCCCTTATTTAATAAACATGATGCTTTTAAATTTAGCATAAAATGTACTTAAAATTATAGACTATTAGAATTACAAATATTCATTTGGGGTCATTTTTAGATGTTTTTGATATTTTAAAACATAAGGTTTATCAACCTTCCCCACATATTCACTAGGGTATTTAGACAATTTTTTTTCCAGTTTTGAGATATACTTGGTGTGTAACATTGTGTAAGTTGGAGGTGTACGGTGTCACACAATGTTTATATATGGTGTTGGAAGGTATCTAATACTATATTCGAATATATTCGTGTCATGCTCTTTATACGTAAATGATATTGTAAGTGAAAAGAACCTGAATGTTCACTAAAGTTCTGTGTATAGATAACTTTTTCAATCTCACAAAAACCAATAACCAAGAAAATGACCGCAGTTACAAAATAGTAACACAGAAGTACACAAGTCTTCATTGTTTACTACATGCCTGTTCCAAAAGGAGCTCATTGAATAATTCAGTCTTTGCACTAGTGAGGACGTGTAATGTCTTTTTTTTTCCCACAAATTGAAGGTGAAATTTTAAAAATCACAATGTTTATATCAGAGTTTTTGCAAACTTATTTATTCACTTTTTATAGGTATAAAGTACATATATATTAAAGTGCCTGGATTTCTTTTATTATACGAAGAATTTTATTCCTTAAATTAGCCTTTTATATTAAAAGGGTCTAAGGGATCTGAAGTTTTTCTTGTGGTTGTTAAAACTAGATATAACCTTTTACCTCTTTGTGTTGCTACATATTAGCCAAACTTCAGAATACCTCTTATTAACATATCAGATTAATAGTCTTTCAAGGGTAACTTTAATTTCAGCAGATCCTACTCACTAGGTTAGAAAATTACAAATGTGTGTGTGTATGTATACATATACATATATGAACAACATGAGATCTCAAACATTTCATTTTAAAGCAGAATTATAAAGTGTTAAATCATTAAAATGTAACTAGGAAGAAAGTTGTAAATATACATTTAAATTTTCTCTATCTTGTGGAAAATCTTGTAATAATTTATAAGCATGATTAAGGAAATAAAACTTAACCTATGTCTGTTAATTTAATGACTGTATTTTTGTGATTAGTCAATGTGAAATGACTGTATTTTAACCCTTGTTTATTAATGACATGTGTTGTGGCTTTGTGCTTTGCATAATACATATGTATGTTGTATTTTTACTACTTGGATCAATACCTAAAATGTTTTAAATCCCTGAACAGATCCTGTATTGTAATGAATCCCTCTTTTCTCTTGGTGCTGTTTTTATTAAATTAACAAACTATTAATTTCTTATTAAACATTTAATTGCTGAATAGTGTATGTTTTCATAATTTGAGTATTTAAGCTATTGTTATATTTTAAATCCATTAGAAACTAACATTCGTGTTTAAAAACATAAGTTCTACTGTTTAGATATCAATTTTAAGTACTAGAAAAATTTATATTTTATAACAATAAAAATCTATGATGTAAACTTATTTACTGGTAAGGTAAAAGCTCATGACCAAGATAGTCTTTAAAAGGTGAGTAGAGTGCTTGCTTCGGCAGCACATATACTAAAAAGTGAGTAAAAGTTTTATTTTTCTCTTCCTTCTCATATATACTAAGGAACATTACCTAAGTAATCGAACAGTTCCAGCAAATTCTCATTAAGTAAATTTATAATAATTTATTTTCCCATTAAGTCTCACTTAGCTGATTCATTTTCCTAAATGCTTTTATTCTCTACCTAGAATGCAATCATGTTTGGTAAGAAAATGTGTATTCCATTGTGTTCTGGGGTTAATGATGATCCCAGAGAATTAAAGAGCAATTTTTTTTTCCATTAAGAATTGTTTTTCCTCCAAAAATGAGACAATTCATTTTAAAAAATGAAAGCTTGATACTTGAATCTTCTGGATTCTAGTGCTTTCCCCAAAGTGTTTATTTTTAAAATGTATATACATAGGCACTATACTAAATCTCTGTGGAATGCAACAAACAGAAGCACTTTTAGCAATGAGCATGTGGTAGCAGCATACACCTGGTAAATCTGTAGTTTGTCACCTTCACAGTTTTGTGTAACAAAAGAACATTGAAGGTCTGAACTCGGGTTGGGAGGCTCCTTCCACTGTAGCTCTCATTGAGGATGAAATGCACTTGGGAAGAAACTTGTTACTGCCCCTGTTGCTCATAAGGCCAGGAGCAGTCAGGGAGGACAGTAATGTGTGGGGAAATGGTTTCAACAAACTGTCAATTCTTTGTGGAGTGTAGAACTCAGTAAAACTATTTATAGTAATAAGTTTTCTTAAATTTGGAAAAGTTATACATAACCATAGTAAAAAGCTGGAAATCTATTTTATTCCTAATTTATCATAGTTTCACATACCTTATTAGTAAGTACTGAACTAATGTTTCCACTTAGTTGTTACTCTTTCTATAGTACATCCATTGACTCTCCCGAAGTTGAGCGTCCCTTGCATGTTAGGCATTGTGCACTGGATGAATCAGGCACAATCCCTGTGTACAAGAAGTTTGCAGTTAAGTGATGAATGTACTAAGTAGATGGTCGGAATGCAAAATGGGAGTTCTCTCTGATTTCAGTAACCATATGATTTATAATATTGAGGACTCATAATACTGGGACCTTAATAGGTTGTAATTATCCAAGAATTAGTAATGAGGATGGTACTTGACAACACAATAATTCTGCCAGTAGATTTTTCTAGAAAGCCTAAACTAGTAGAATCTATTCCACTTTAACCTGGCAAGAGAGGAGTGGTGTCCCCAGTCCCTGTGCTAGAATAGTTTTTTGCATAATTGCAGCATCTTCCTCCTTTATGTAGGTGGATTTCATTTCTCACCAAAAAGAACATGGACCAAGATATATGATGGTATGAAAGTAATTTTGGAGATACAAATGGAACTTGCAGGTTTGAAATGTAAAACCTAGGAAAAATTTAGATAATATACTGATGAGATCATAAGAGACTTGTGTGTTATATTGAATGAAGTTAGAATGTTAAATCTAAAATAAACTCAATGTGAAATGGCAATATGCCTTGTTTTTCTTTATGCATTAAAATGGACATGTTTCTATGGTAATTCTCTTTTCCCAGACAATGCTTGAGAATGTTTAAGAATCTCTGGAAATAGATTTTTAGATGTTTTATAACCACATATTCTCAGGATT